CATGTGCCTGAGCAACAGAGTGATGCTGCAAAATGCTCAAAATGCACCTAAGTGAGAAGTAACACTTAAAAGTTTAGGTAAGTGGGGTTTTTCTATGGAACAAGTTGGAAGTGCCATTGCTCTCAAAGAGTCTGTATGTCCAAGACAATGGGAAAAACATCCATTCCCACCTTTAGTACTTTTTTACCCTTCATCTACCGAGAAAGTCACTACACCGTAATTAAATAATTCAAAGGCGTGTTTTCTCAGGAATCTTGGATCTTGTGCTGTCTGCACAGGATGTTCCAGTCTCCATTTCTAGGTATGAGCTACCCGGGGTTTAGTTCAATTGGCAAGGCTCTTAACATGTTTTTTCAGTAGTTGTAAGATGTAAGAATCACCATAATGATCACCCTGTCTCCCACACTGGCTAGTGATCCTTCTAGAAGGAGATCCTTCACCAGTACACCCTCCTGTCCTTCTCTGATGAGAGACAAGTTTCCTGACACAAAGGATTGGACTGTGCAAATGCAGGTGTTTTGCAGCCACCAAGTCTCTGTGTAGGTTGTGCCTTTAGGAACTGTTTTGTTTGTTTCTACCATATGCTGTGGCAAGAATCCCCCAACGTAATTGTGCTGTATAAAGATGAGTTTCTTTTCTGTTTGCTTTAAATCTTATTTCCCTGAGTGCTGACTGCTTTTGATTGTACAAAACCAGCAATTACTTGTTCCCTATTCATCTTTCACATGGTTACAGATACTGTATTCCTCATCTTGAGGTGTTTTCAGCCTGGAAAGTGAATTATCTAATCCCTTTTGAAGAAACCACTTTGTATCTCTGATCATTCTAATTTTTATTTCTCCTTTTTCTGTCTCTCAGCTCTGTTGTACACTTTCTGAGCTGCATTGGAAGCACCATAATATTAAAGACCAGGGCATGCCATAGAATTGCTCTGTACTGTAAGTCTATTTTTCCCCCCATTTTGTTCCCAGGAATTGTTAATGTTCTATTTTCCTTTTGGCTGTCATAGCCCACTGATCTTAGGTCTTGCGACTATGCAAAACAACTCCCAGATCTCTGTACTGAGAAAGTCAGAGTAATTTTAAACCAACTGTGTGATGCAGTTAGTATTTTTCCCCATGATTATGAAGCTTATTAGTCAGCCTTTCAGTATGGAGATTTTTTTTCCCAGCTCTGTAATTTTGTCATCAAGGAACACGCATGTTTTCTTTTATCAGATTATCTGTTAATATGTTGACCAGATGTCTCCTCACATGTCCCCAGAAGGCTTCTCAAACCCTCCAGATTTTAAACTGGCCTTGAGAAGAGTCTCATTTATTTCCTGAGAATCTAATTTTCTTGAGGGCTTTACTCGGAAAAAAAAAAAACCAGAACCAAGACTTCAAACTCATACCAAAGTACAAGTGGCTTAGTATTTCCAGAATGTGGAACTACTGCAATACTGATGTCAGAAGCTGGATCCCTTTATTTTTGGCTCTCTTGAATGGAGTTTCTGCATGTGATGCCAAAAACAAGTTGGGCAAGTGGGACAGCTTACCAGCAGCTCTTTCAGTGCTAGAAATGGTCATGAGGAAGACGCTACTGCTCCCAAATTCGTGTTGCTGTCAGAGGTATCAGAGTCACACCCAAGCCAGCTGCCTCTTCATACTTCCCACTTGGCCTGGTCCAGCACGCTCCTGTTGTAAATCCTGCCCCAGAGCCTGCTCCCTTCTTACCAGTCCGTCCCAGAGCTCCCCTCCCATTACCTGTCATTGGACAGCACACCCTGTTCTCTCATTCTTCTCTCAAAATGCAATAAAATAAGCCCCGGATCTTGGTTTTGATAGGGATTTATAAAAACTCAGATATTGAGCTTCATCTCCCTTGATTTCCAGTTTTAAGAGAGAATTATAGACCAGCTGGCTTGCCTAGAGTCCAGCTACTAAGGATTTAAACAGGAATGTGCTGTTTTCAACCTGCATTTTCTTCTAAAATACATTTCTTTTTTTTAATTTGAATATTCTGTTTGTAAACTGATTTCAAACAGCTAACACAAACATCCTCAAAGATGACTATTGCAGTTGTTTGAGGTTAACGCAGCCATAGCTTTCCTCTTTGACTAGTCATAATTCTTCTAGTCATAATTTCACAAAGCACATCGAGGCTTCCATGCAGCTACTCACTTTATGTGTTACAGCTGAAGGATGTGTTTTGTTTCCTGATTTTAACAAGTACGTGGCCTTCAACTAAGCTGTGATATGCCTGAGCACACAGTTAAAAACTCCCCTGTCTCTAGGTGAAGAAAGCAAGTTCTACTTTCCAGATACAAATGATTCATAGGAAGCTGAGTAAGTTCACTGGATTTTTTTAACCTCTTTGTAATATCTTCCTGCCAAAAAGGAATGTACATCTATCTTATTATCAGTGTAAGAAAATACTAAGAAAAGCATATAAAATACTAAGAAAATGCTTGACCCTTTGCACTGTCAACTGTTTTTCCTTCTGGAGATCTCTTCCCTTCTTATTAAAGAAGCAACTGATTATCTCAAATATTTCCCTATTTTTTTAAATAGGTCATCTCTAAATTCAATGTATTCAACTTCTGATTCAATTAAAACAAATTCTTTAACTGACTCATACAGAATTCAAAATAGTAATGGTCAACAAGGGTTAGCTCATTAAATTGTGCATAATTGCTACTAAATGACTGTACTTACAGTCCTTAGACTACTCCTTGTTAATCATCAGGAGCTTTTCTTCCAAGTAGAAAAATCATGAAGGTCTGGTCATGATAGCACATGAATCATAAAATAGTTTGGGTTGCAATGAACCTTAAAGATGATCTAATTCCAACCCCTCTGCTGTGGGCAAGGACACCTCCCACTAGACCAGGTTGTTCAAAGCCCCATCCAATCTGGGTTTTAAACACTCCTTATAATTCTCTGTCAAATCTTAAGAATGTTAAAAGTTTAATTAGATCCTATAAACCATCCAATGCTAAAAAATCCAACATCAGGCTGATTCCACCCCTAGAACACACATACAGCCACCAGGACAATTCCAACACACCTGAAAGTCACAGAACAATGAAAGCCATTTGGCTTCAATTTTATCAAATTAAGTAATATCATACAGAATATATTGCAAGTCTAACCTATCCTTCTGTAGCTGGTGCTTTTGGAACAGCCAGTTAACTTAAATTTTAAATTACTTTAAACATTTTAAGTCATATTTAAGAAATAATGCAACATTATTACCACCTCATCATAATGACTTATAGCCCAGCCGCACACTTGACTAGATTGCTGGCTATGCAAAGCACCTGACAAGCTTAAAAAATTATGTGGCCATAAATCCCCTGAGATACAGAAAAATGCTTTTAAAGATCTTCTAAAGAACAGTTTGCCCATTAGCTGTGCTCATTTTTCCTTTGATATACATAAATTTAGTGCTAATATATCCTAGATTCACAAACTCCCTTTTTTTCATACCTGTATCAGAAAACTCATGAACTTAGATCCACACAATTAGCTGATCAGAATATTGCCTTTTGCAAAGTATAGAAATAAATTTAGAGAATAAGGAGACAAAAAAAAATATACAAGAGTATATTTATTACAGCAAAGTAATTAAAAATAAAAAGTAAACAAAATTACATTTAAAGCAAAGTTAAATAGGTAAGTTGTAACCCCAGGAGATAACACCAACCACAAGAACAACCTCTGAGAATCTGACATGAAAGGTCCTCTGTCACAGGCATCGCTCTCCTCGGCATCACCTGGATGTAGGAATGGCTTACCTCAGATAACCCAGGTGTAACAAACCCCGGTGCAGCTTCTTGCTCTTATTCTGACAGCAGATGTCAGATGAAGGGAAAGTAGCTAACACACATCACCATACAAGTTTTGCTGGCTATCACAGTACACCCGTGACAGCTACATTATTTTCACAAAGGAGGTGACTTGTCTGTGGTTGTGTAACCCCCCTCTCCCTGGAGTCCCTGTGGAAGGCTCTCCAAGGCTTACCTGCCTATACACAGCATCGCTGTGTATCCCTGACTCCGATGGCTGAGAAAGAGCTGTGGGAAAATTCTGTAGAAAAGTAAAAAATGTAAAATTAAAGTCCCTGTTGAGACAGGAGTTCTTAGTAGCTCAAGAATTCAAGAGGCCAAACACCAAGTGGAAAAGTATAAAATCTTACAGGGAAAAAAAAAGGGAGTCTAGTCAATCTAACCCTTCTCCCATCTCATGTCTTTCTGGTTAGGAAAGTCTGTCCAGGTGCTTTGTCAGGGAGTTGAGTATTCAGTCTAGCAGTTTTGTTAAATCCAGAATATCTTTTGTGTGTACTAAGCAATTATTAGTTACTTTATACTTTTCCATATTATTTATCCTGCTTGCAGAATCTCCTTGGATTCAGGAAAGGATGCACAAAGAAGCTAGTTCAAAAGAGGGGCACTAATCACAGGTATAGTATAAAGGGCATAGTATAAAAGCAAACAGAAAAAAAACCATGAAAGACAGTCTTCATCAACTGACAGTGAAGTCCAAACTTCTCAGTATCTGTGCATTTGACTTTCCATGTGAATACCATCACTGTGTTTGGGGAAAGTGTCTGCTTTTGATGCTTCATGGAGGTTTGTGTGTCCTGCTGTTTGCAGAGTGCACGTGCCATCTAGGTGTTTTGTTTTCATCAACATCTGGTGGCCTCAGATTGTGTACAGACCATAAACCTGTTCCAAAATATTGTGTGTTCTTGTTCATGAATGTGGCACCTGCTTTTGATATCCCTGGCAAAGCGGACCTTTGTGTACAGCTGGCCTATTAGAAGTTGGTTCAGGACAGTGACTGTAGTGTGACAATACCCTGAACTCCCTAACCAAGGAGCCAGCTCAGAGACTGGACAGCTGCTTAACTGCGCAAATCATTTACACATCCTTGCGCATCCTTTCCATTTGACATAGGTGGCAAACATTCCAACATACGGCATTTGGCTTGCTACATAAAGTCTTGCCACAACCCAAGTACAACAGACAAATTTAATTTTTCAGCACTAAGAGCTAAATTGCATCAGAGGGAAGAAAATAAACCAGATCATGCTGAGAAGAGAGGAGTGTATTTCAAAAAGTGCATTACAAAAAACTGGTATTTAGCATGAACAGAACTATGCAACAGAACAATATGCAACTACTTCAAATAAGTCAATTTACATCAAATCAAAGACATAGAATCGCAAAACTATTATTTCTTCTCTACACAAAAGTGCCTTGAAAGAAGCTGGTCCGTAAGATCTTTATCATCTTCGCCACATCTGTAAATGGAATAAAAGGACCCATTATTTAGCTGAGTGGCACCTTGCTTTCAATGAGAAATGTGCAGCTTCTTGGTGATTTCTCTGAGAATGCTCCCAAGCCCCTGAGGATAAATGACATTACCTCTGGACACATAAACACGAGTATAATTTTATCTGGGTGGTCCTCCTAGGCATTGCCAGAGCTCACCATATGCTTAGCATGGACAGTGGCAAGACATGCTCAGTAGGGTCCCTGTACATTTTTAGAGCACAGTTTCTAAAACCTGCCCATCAAAACTGATTTCTGGCAAATTCAAAATACCAAACTGACCCAAATATAATGGCTCTTTCCTTCCAGCAATTAAAACTTGAAAGAAATACACTTGCCTTGCATTTGTTTTTGGAATAAGTTCCTGACTAAGCTTTCAAGCCCTTTTAAAAACCAAACAAGAAGACCTAAGCTGCTGTTAAAAAGTGCAGCAATCAAGGTCTTTGATGAACATGTGAGTTGGAACAGGAAACAGGTTCCACAGCAGAAATTCCAGGAGGAAAACAAAGAAAGGGGCCTGTGGCAACCTGCATTCTTCCCCTCATACAGCTGCAATACTCCTTTGTATTTGAGGCAATTTGCAATTTATTTAGCAGCTAATTGGTAGTTATACAAGAGACAAATATTGTCAGCTCACAGTGGAAGGCTGAAAAAGAAAATATATTTGGAGTTAAGGTTCAGCAAGCTGCAGCTCTGATAAACAGCAGAGGCAACTCCCATCATGAACACTTGATTCCACCACACAGGTAACTGCCAGTATGTGACTGTCCTCGATGAAATATGCTTTGGGGTCCCTATTTGAAACAGGTGAGGACACTGGCCTACATAAGCATTTATTTAAGAGAAAATCTTCAAAAGCACTTAATCAGCACAGTAATGCAAGGGCTTAATTAGGTTCACATCTGCTGATGGACTGACGGTGTCATTCATTCACAGTTATCTAAGTCTGGCTCACTCCCTCCTTCATACTGGCACTAGCAAGAAACCTTTCAGAAAGGTTTGGGGTTTTTTTTACCCCTTTCCTCACATGGAGCAGTGAGCTGATCTGGCCCACGAATTTGCTTCATGATCTCTACAGCAGGCACAAGAGACATGCTGCCCCTTTTGGCAGAAACCCTATTAGGTGAGCCTAAGCCAAACTGCATTTTCTGCCAGTGGCTGAGCACTTGCAGCACTTGATGTAAAACACTCAAGCAGTGACAAAATTGTTTAAAACCAGGACTTTATTCTAATGGCTTCTTTCAGGACAATCCTCACTGCCATAACGTATTGTTGCATAGTAAAAATCCAGCTAAATCTCTCTTCTGGGTAAGTAAACAGGTTCTGATAGGATACTCCTCCTTATGGACTGTCTGCAGGCAAGCACTTCAGATTAAGAAATGGACCATTATCAATATCCTTGACTAAACTCCTGCATAATATATGCCAATTGCTGCATCACACTCCTGTTCTGAGCTACACAAACTAACCTGGCAAGATTTCAAACAGTCCCTCTGCTCTCCTCTCTTGCAGGCAGCCAAGCTATTTGCAAACACTTTCACACATTCTCCTGCCTGTGAGAAATGTAGGCCAGCTTACCACAAGCAGAAAGTGTGAAAATGTTCTTAAAAAGCCCAGCTGCTGGCCTGTTTTTCATAGACAGAGTACAAGTGCCTCTGTAAATCCTCCTTTTTCGCAAAGGGAACTTTCCCTTTCTGGGGTGAGAACACCCCCTGAGCCGTGTCCCTTGCCCCACCACTTTTATACTAGCCCACTAAAGCTCTAGCCAAACTATAGTACTGGATGCACAAAAACCCACCCCCACCTCCCTCAAATAAACAAACCCACACCCAACTGGGCCTGCTTTTAGTTCTGAGTATTTCAATGCACTTTTAAACATCAATATAATCCATAATTATTTGATTCTTAAGTTAAAAAGTTGCAAATTTAAAGGAGTTATATTTTTTTTCATACAAGCAGTTGTCCAAATTAATTCCACTTAGGTGAATAAGCAATACTCTGCTACAGCTAAAGCAAAAATTCCTCAGAAATGGGGGATTTTAAACTAGCATGAAAGGTATGTAAGCTAAAAGTTAAGAAACTAATTTAATTAAAAACCACAGAATAAAGAATATTTCTTTGAGTAATGCTCAGATTTTAATCCATTATTAATATCCATGATTTTCACTATATTGTTCAAAGGTTTCAAAGAAGAATACCACTCAACATGGAAAATAACATGAGAATTTATTTTAAATTTCAAGGTTGCCTACCTGGACTAAGACGCTGAAGGAATTGAACCTTCTTTCTCACTTGATCCCGGTTTTGCTTTACATTCCTTGCAAGCATGATGACACCGTCTAAAATATTGAAAGCAAATAAAATACTGAAGAATTTTGCTGGATTTCTTCTAATACAACCATATAGCACAATGGCAAAAGTTCTTGAAGAAGTAATCTCCTGCCTACATTCCCCAGTTTTTGTAACCGCTTTATGGGGCATAAACTGCAAAAGATGACATCTAAATGTCTCAGCCAATAAACCCCTATTAATTAGTATTAATCCCCTTCCAGCAATTGCCAAAAAATAACAGGATTTTCAATGCAGGAAAAGGCAGTCCTTGCCATTGTACTTATGGGCAAACCGAGTGAGGAGCAAGATGTACAACACAAAAGGAGGACAAACAGCCATTTTGTGTAATACCAAGTGAGGAAAAAGTCATAGCTTTGTTATGTGGGGGAAAATGCAAGTAGAGAAATAGATGAACAGTGAAGAAGCTTCCTGCTACCAGTTGGGCATTTTTATAAGCATAAAAGCTCATGCTGGTCTGGGGAAAAGATGTGGAAAGACAGAGGCGAATGATTTTGTGGATAGGATCTTTGGAAATGTATTTTGCATATGAAAGGCGCGTACCAGAAGCCGTATTGAGAATGAAAAGTAGTACAGGCAGTTGGAGGTGGAGCTTGGAAGGAAGTCAGAGACTGATTTGATGGGAAGGAGTACTTTATGTGAACGATGACTAAAACATGGAGGTACCAGGTGACTGAAGTCAACCATTGAGATCTATCCTATGGTTAGGGTTGCAAGGTGGAAAAAAAAACCCCTTGCAGTTTGTGCTCTTCGTGATTTGGCACGACAGTACGAGGTCAGGCAAAGCCACGGAGGAGGAGGCTGGAATATGGGTTGAGATTGAAATTGTTGTTAAAATATGAGGACACTGTAAAAAAATCTGTAAGCATATTTGGCCTGCTGGTCTAAAGGAAGGCTCAAAAACTGAAGTGATAATAACATGGACAACCATAGCTGCATAATACTAGATGAAAAGAGCAACTGTTGTCACATCATACATTACAGTACAGTAATTTCATTTAAACCATATCCTAATAACAGGCATGACCCTGAGTTTAATTTGCATTTTCTGAAGAATGCATAGTAGTCCCTAATACTGCCATATATAGCCTAAGACTATGAATAGTACCTCATGACCTGATTACAGAATTTAAATTCCAAGTTTTGCTGCATATAATTTTTACTACGTTTTAGACTATTTTGATCTAGGATTAATACTTCAAATAAGCACAAACCTTTTTTGTTGTGGACCAAATGGTGTCATACCAATTTTCTCGAACTTTTTTTGGCATTCTCCAAAGTATGACATCTTTCCAATAGCAAAACCTAAGATACCAGCAACTATAAAGACAGATAACAAAACACTGTTAATACAAGAGTTTAAATCAGGAGTCTTCTATTAGCTTATTTTAATCATATGATGAATTGTATGTCACATGTCTTCTCAAAACATGTCCCAAACACATGTGAAGTTATACAGGGATTACAGGCATGATTTCAGTAACTACTGAAAACTGGCTACCTATCAGGAGAGATAGCAACTGGTCCAAAACAATGCATACAGGAAAAGGGTATAATATTCCTGCATCCAGGAAAAGGATATAATATTTAGAGGAACAGATTATAGAGATAGCCCACAGTAAAATGAATTCACAATGTCAGCACTAATTGTTCTTGCCCTTGTTTGCACACCATGGTTTATTTCTAACGATGACACTTTTAGCACCGACTTCTCTGGACTTCTAAGAAGCTAGAACATCAGCCTGCCATACTATCACATTGTGCCTTTTAATTTTTACAGAGTCAGAATAAAAGACTACTTCAACATCCTCAAGTTCCCAATGAGTTTCTGCTGAAGAAGGAATCAATTTCATTTCTTGCTATTTAAGAGCCATCTCACTGTACAGTACAATTCCATGCTTTTATTTGTTTTCTTTATCAATCCATGGTTATGAATTAGACAGCTGAGATCAATCAAATGAGCATATGAAAAGGAACATACTATTTTATATATTATAGTATAGTGACTCCTTAATACCATAAGCTGTGCCAAGCATGGCTGATCAATGAGGCTGACACCATTTATAAAGCAAAGCTGAGACTGGATTTTTTTAGGAATTTGAGAGGTTGTATTAAGGAAATATAAGCTGCTATTGAAAGTGTGTACATTTAAAGAATCTGGTTGCATACAATTATTTTTAAACACACTAGAATTCTGATTTCCCAAAGTGCTGGGGTAACATCTCATAAATTCCAAAAGAGGAAGAGTTTGGAAATAAATTCAAAGAGATACATATACGGTCTGCATATTGCCTGTAAATAACCTTTCCTTTCCTTTTAGAATTGGGTACAACTTACTTGCCATCTTGGGGTATGGACCAAATCTCGGACTTGCTGAGAAAACGCCTACAATAAAAGGAAATAGTCAGCAAGCTTATTGACTTGAGGAACTCACCAGCACTCAAAACCAAGGCAGTATTATTCTTCCTACAAGCTTCTGCACTGCTTGAGGTGAAGACAGTATGAATAACTTAGAAGTCCACTAACTCAGACTTCAGAACATCAGAGCACTTTCCATTCCTCTAGTTCTTAGTGCATGTGTTTTGGGGCAGTCCTAGAGTCATAGGAGGAAAAGGATCTGGACTTTGCAGGATTCAGTTCAGGCAGGAATTTAGAGTGGAAAATAACATGAAAGCAGCATGTCTGCCACTGGTGACACCTGCAGCACTGCAGGAGAAAGAGATGGTGGTTTATGTTTCAGCACAAACCAACCCAGCAAATATAATAGTGAAATTAAATCCCTTACTCAGGGTCCAGCTCCCTGTGCTGCAATAGTACAACAAGACCGTTCTTCAGTAGTTTTCTGTGGCTATTGATTAAAACTGTACCACTGGTATCTAGCCATCCTCTGGAGAGGAAAGATCACACATTTTGGCCTTTAAGAGCGTGCCAAACGGGAAAACTAAAAAATTATCTTTAGCTTTTTCACCAAAATCCATCTTCCCCCTAGTTAACCTCAGGAGGTGGAACCAGTATTCCTCCAAGAGCTATGTACCTGGCAGAGGAGTGCCATGCTGTGGAAGAGGGCTCCACACAGCAGGATTACCATGGCAAAGGGAAGGGCAGTGAACACTGGTTGCACTGTTACGTGCATTCAGACAGTAATAATGAGGCTTAGAAGCTCCAGCTTCTTCTAGAGGCAGGCTACTGTGTGCAGCCACAAGAAAGGAGTCTTTAGACAGAGGAGCATTCAGCCTATGTTTAGCACAAGGGCCTTTGCACACAGACATTTACGCAATTTTAAACCGGGTCTCTCGGGGCAGGAGGAACAAAAGTATTGTTTGTTTCTACTCAACCCTCCCCTCCAATTGTTGACACACAGTAATGATTATTTAATAAGGCCATTTGTTATCTCACAGCTAATAAAAAACATTCAAGTACAATGAACAGAAACTGAGAAGAGTAGCAGGTGCCAGAGCGTGTTTTCGAATGTGTAACCCTTGACCTTCTCTGACACACTCTCCCTTGCTCCTTCCCTCTCTGTCTGCCTACAAGCTCATACGTCAAGGATGCAATAGGGAACCCACATCAGCCTCTTGTGGTGTAGCTGAGCTTTTAGGTTAAGTAACATGGTAATAGTGGCTGGAACAAAACAAGGAGCTTGCAACCACACACAGTGAGAAATGGATGAGCCATTTCCACCACCTCCATTTGCTGTCTCCCACCACCCACCTTTAATAGCCCTGCTCCTTGCTTCAGGCCCTATGAATTTTTTCTTCTCCTGCTGTAACCAGCTGCTGATGCAGGCTGAAGGACTGTCTTACTTGCTCCTGTGGGATATACCTATCTTAGCGTTCTTCAGGATGGATGCCCTTTGCTCTTTACCCAAACGCTAACCCCAGCCTTAGCCAAGACCCCCAGCAGGGAAGCTCAAGGTGCCCTGTGTAGAACCAGGTTCATCCACAAATACAATTATCTTTTGTGTTAGCCTGCAGATCACAAGCCATCCCTACGAAAAGCTCTCCATCTCCTCACTTTGGCAGTATTCCCTGTCCCTCTGTATCAAAGCTGTAGTCAAATTGGTAAATGGTCACTGTAAAAACATTGCCAGCACTTTTCAAATAACCTAACTGATTCTGATGCCCCTGCTCAGGCTGTACAACAACCTGCCCTACAAGCTGCCCCAGTGAAGACTTTACACAAATGCATGTGGTCATGGTGACAGAATCCAGCCACCAGTCTTTGGATTTGTGAATTCTGTTTTCAGTTCATGCTCTTTCAAAAGAATGACTGTGGCAACGCATACACAATGATCAAATCACTCTAACAATGATGGGGATGAGTAAGAGGAATATTGATATTGAAAAACAGCACTTCAATAATGTACTTTTTTATCTTTACCTTTGGAGATTAGCCCCTGGGTGACAAGCATGCTCCCGAGAGACAAAGGAAGAGCTGTGAAAATGAAAAGGAGGTATCTAGTGTAAGCCAAAATTTCTTCCTTATTTGGTAAATACTTTACTCTCTTATACATTACGTGTTTAATATGTTTCTAATGTTAAACACATTCCTCCTAAATATTAACTTTGCCTACTGTCCTAATCACTCAGATTACATTCTCTTCAAAGCAAGAATGTTCTCACACAGTGCCAGACATCAGCCATGTTGTAACATCTGGAGCTAATGCATTAGGTACAGTTATTAAATAATAGCTTCCATTATCTGAATATCTCCTCTCGCTACTGCAGCACTGGTAATGTCAGCAGCTCCGATGAAATGCTGAAATCCTTCTCGATATTCTCCATTCAGAAAATACATAATTTAGACACAAACTGACGTGGTGGACTTAAAAGGCACTAAAACACTGAGTAACTAATATTTCAGATGTCCTAATCCTGAAGAATTTTACAAATCCAAGACACGTAGCCATGGCCTGCCTAGCATTCAAAGGCAAGAATAAGTACATAACAAAATAAAACACTCCTAAGGTGGTTGTATTAATGGACCTCAAGAATAGAACCAACTCTACAATTGTTAAAGTAAGTTCATATTAACCAAGAGTTTAATTCAACCACCTTTACCTACAGTGGTTATGCAAATAATTCAATTAACTCTATAATAACACAATGGTTAACTTAACATGACAGAGTTAACCCACAACAATATTCTGGTAAAAAAGCATTTTGCAGCCAATTTTGCATATGTACATCCAGAAGTCATTCTCAGTGTGGTAAGAATAATTCTGGATCACCCACCTCTGTACCAGAAACTTTCCTGTTTGCATTCCTTACGGATCCTTGCAACTTCTCCAGCATCTTTAATTTGGGAGGTGGGGCAAAAGAACATGGGCTGAAAGCATAAACCTGGATTAGTTTACTGAATTTAATTTCACAGGAAGAAAAAAAAATAATTAAAGAAGATAAATTATTAAAAAAAAAAAAAGAATAAAATACAATGCAAAAAACAACCAATCAAGCAAAACTCCTTATTCTGTTATTAGCCCTGTGATTAAATACTGATACCCCAATACAGAAACAGAAAGAACTACACAGGTTTTATGTTAAAACCACTCACCCTGTTGGTCTGCTTTCCTAAAATAGCTCAGCTGCTGCTTACTCCAGAAGCATATTGCTTTATTTCTGCTAGTCATTTCATTCTCCTGAGCTACCTCATCTTTCTGGGAAAGAAATTAGGGGAAATAAAGGCAGAGTGGCCTTTATTTCCAAATTTTAGTTTCCAAAAATTAAATTCTGCCCCATACAGAAGTCAACTGAAGTTCAGAAGAGGGTCAACATAAACTCCACCAGATTCCCCACTAGCAGAACTTTCTCTCTGACTAGTTTAAACATATTCATGGCATTAACTGAACTCAACCAAACTGGTTTCACCCTTATAATAATTTAGCTCACCAACAGACTCCTTTTAGGTTAACAGTAGCTCTTTTTTCCCCCATTTTGACTGTGAGAAAAAAGTGCCAGTATTATCTCTTACATTCTACCATCCAGGGTATTGACATGCAGATAGAAGTAGATTATTTTCCTTTAAGAAAAGACTCAGTTATGAGTGTTAACACTTGCAGTATCATTATCAGACATCTGAAATATGTGGGTGTACTGGTTTGGACTGGGAAAGGGTTTATTTTCTCCACAGTAACTCATATGTTGCTAGGTTTTGGATTTGACCAAACCAGTATTGGTAATACAGGGTTGTTTTAGTTACTGCTGAGCAATGCTTACACAGAGTGAAGGCCTTTTCTGTTTCTCAGGATGCTCCACCAGCAAATGGGTTGGGGGTGCACAAGAATTTGGGAAGAGACACGGTCAGGACAGCTGACCCCAACTGACCAAAGGGATATTTCGTGGCATATGATGTTGTGCTCAGCAAGAAAAGCCGGGGGGAAGAAGGAGTTGTCATTAATTTAAAATTAACTGAAATTTTAACATTTTTCTGTAAAAACACCGCATCTACAAACATACTTATTCCTGAAAGCAAAAATCACAGAACAAGCAGCGCCTTGGGAAAAAGTGCACATTCGTCTGTTACAGGATTCTATCTCATTTTATGCCTGACTGATCCATGATTTTGTAACCATAATAACAAAATGCATTTATTGGCCACTGCCACAGGTTTCTTATTTTAGCTAATTAATATCTCGGTCCTTCTTCGAGCACTGCTCCCACGGAAGTTAATGGTAGTTCTGCTTGGATAAACAGTACAGAAATGACTCCACCCCAGACCCTAGAGAACCGCTCCAAACTGGTTTCAGAGCAAAGTCACAGCAAATACAGTAAAGTCCAAACAGGCTGAGTGAAAGATAAGGAAATGAGTGTCAGGGCCCTACATGCACCAACAGGCTTTGCAATCTTTCTGCCTCCATACACACCCTGCTAGGGGTTTAGTTGCTTGGGCTCAAAGTCAGCTCTAACATGGCACAGTTGTGTAACACTGAATCAGATTGCTGTGAAAACAGCAAAGCTGGGAGAAAGAGCTGCAAGAAGCTTTGCTCAGGGCCTCTGCCCTTTGGCTCAGGAGCTGCATATAAGCACAGCCCCTTACCCTAACTGTGTTGTAGGGCCTGTACCTGGCCCTTTACCATGAAGATCCTTACCTTGCCTTGCTAACTTCACTTTCTGGCTTACCATCAGACTTGCCTTATTCCTAAGGAATGGCCTGGCAATCACTGAACTGACTGTAAGCTGACCCTGGTTAACATCAATGGATCTGCTCTCCTCCTCTTTTCTGGCTACTGTGGGACTGTGCTCCTAATTCCTGAGGTGCCAGCCCCTGCCACCTTGCAGTCACTCATGACTCCAAGGTCCCCTTTCCGTGCAGATCAACCCACTTTCTCTGCCCTCTGGTAATGACTGGTTAGCAACAAGGTTGTACCACATTTAAATTCCTCAGTTTCTCCATCAGAGGAGAATGCTCATCTTCTGTACAGCTGGAGGGCAGATTCTTGTGCAGTACTGTTCCCTTCTCCCCTTCTGAATACTTGGACACACACACACAATTTACTGGGGACGGGTTATACTGGGCTTGTGCTCACACACTACGGCTCTGCCAGTTCATAACTAGTTTAACTAACATTGCATAAATCAGTCTCTTAGCCTTAAGACTCACAACTCCTATCCCTCCAAACATAGTGAGCCTGGAAAAAAAAACACATAGCCCTTCTTTTCTTCATTTATATGCTTAAGCTAACTGACATGTTTCTGTCTTCAATAAGAGCAATTGAGGCAAAATCCCAGTTATTCACTAGCAATAGAATTAAAATAAAAGGGAGAAAACCCAGCTTACCCATCCAAATTGCTTTCTTGGAGGTGTCTGACCTTCCTGCTGGACTGTTTCAGAAGACATCGTCTCTTTCCTTGTACTCCTTGCTCACCAGAAGCTCCGCGTTTTATGCTCCGCTGCTGCGTACAAAGGTAAAAAGCCAAACTGTCATACTGATACTTTAAGTTCAATGTTCATCTAGAAATAAAAATGCCCAAGTTGAAAGGTTGACAGCAGAAAGCATTCAATCACCTGATATGCAGTTCACAGCACAGTGAATCACTTATCAGCAATACCGAGTTCTGTGTAACCCAACTCAAACAGGAAGGTGGGGAACTACAATTACATGCTGAGTCATGACCCAGCATAGCACGCTCAGTGATAGAGAAATGAGAATAAATGTGAGCAAGTCATCTAAAACCTTTCTAATTTTTACTGCAGGTCAAAAAACAGCTTCTTTAGTGTGCTGTCCAGAATTATTGCCCTGCTTCTATCCTCACTGCTGTCATCTAAAGTCTGGATTACACAGGACCCACAAGGCAAGCTTATCACAAACCACATTTGCATTTTTCCAACAAACACTATCCAGTTACAAATATCCTTAAAAAAAAATTAATCTAGAAGCATAAATAGATTCCAAAGAGTTTTGGAGTTGCAATCTTCCATGCCTGAGAATTGGGATACTAGGGAAAAGCAAGAAGGAATCCCATTTATTCCTAGAGTAATTCAAACATCTAAACTGTGATTTTTACCTAGCACTTTGGTGCATGGTCTGGCACTTTATTTACCAACATATAGGGCATTGCTGCTTTTCCAAATGTACTTTTTGTGAATGGTGTCACTAAGTAAGGCTAAAGTGACTGTGAAGGGCAGAGTGAAAAGAAAAGATAAGCAACAATTTAGTAACATAATTTGGTTTTGCATTCATAATATTACCATATAAACCTCTTTCTGCACTTATTTTGGAGTCAGTTAGACACCTATAAAGTTCAAACAATGTCTGCTTCACAAACACGACATATTTAGACAGTAGGGCTTTCTTAAATAATGCCACAGAAGCAACATTACCTTCTCGGCCCTGGCTAAAAAAGAAGTCAAGTATTGCATTCACACCAATCTGCACTTTATTCTCAGACACTTGCAAAAATGACAGTGACCACTGTGTCTTTGAAAAACATACGTTTGAAAATCCACATATTATCTGGAAAGCTCACAACTCTACATTGTCTGTCTCAATGTGAGAGCAATTTAATTTCCAATTAAGCAATTTGCGTCACTTAACGCAAAAAAGATGAGAAAAATGCATAAAACTTTAAAGAGGTTTGTGACAATGAAAGATCAATCAAATTTTCTTATTCTTATCTACTCACAAAGGCTACTTGTGCAGATGGTTGCATAAAAATAATCACTGGAAACAGTTGCTAACTGCTACAATAAAGTGCTTATCCTTTTCATGAGGATAAAAAACCTGAGTCACTGGAGAAAAATAAATAAAATAAACCAAATCAAAAAACAAAGGACTATAAACTAAGATTATAAAAATTTGCAGCTTGCCATTTACCTCCTGTATTGTCTTCGGCATACATTTTTCCTGAACCATAATTTATTCTACTACGCTACTGCTTCAACAGTAGCAAAGAATAATGAAGAATCCCAAAAATATTTAGCCCTTTAAGCAGCTTCCTGGTACATCTCCCACACGGGATGAAAGCTGAAAGCTACACTGGCAAGAATGAAACAAAGAGACAAAGTTAAGGTCATCAAAATATTATGTAACTGAATTATTAGTATTCATACTTAGCAGACTGAGCAATGCAAAAGTGTTCCAGTATTCTGAAGCCCTATGTCTTGGAAAGACAACCGCCATCCCAAAAAATAACTTTATTTGCATTAACCTACTGAAAAAACTTTCATGTAACTTTCTTGTAACTTTTTGTAACTTATTACTGTTTTCTCAACCTGCATATGTAATTCTTAGTGTAACATTTAACTGTATATTCTCTTAGCTGCCTTAAGAAGAATTCCCAAAAATGTTGTTCTTCTGTTTAACTGAAATACTGTATAATAGATTGATTAAATCAATGTGGTTTGCAAAGATCAAATATTCAAAAAACTTCTTCCTCTTCTACAAGAACTCTTCTGGATAATTTATACATTTACAGAAGAAAAGGCTAATATTAGGCTCCTGAAAGATCTCATGGTTTCAATACTTCTAACCGGATCATAAAGAAGCAGTACGCAAGAAGATAGTTAAGTTTTTCAAGTGTGAGAATTGTCAAGTTCATATAGTCTGTTTACAATAAGACACCTCCTTCCAAACAGGAATGGTGACCACATAATAGGGTAACTTGGGGGAGAAGGTGGGAGCCAGAACTGCATGTGTTATCTGGTCCCTGCAGCGGCCTGTGATCTGCCGTGAACACTGCATATCTGCCCAAGGCAGGCACCACTCATCACCGAGACGATTCATTAGGACTTCAGAGAGGCGCTCCGAGGACTGTGTCCCTTGTGAGGAACAGGGGAAGATTCGCCATGATGTTCCACACCCCTCTGAACTGCCTCTTTGTTTTAAATCCAGGCTCTTATTTCAGTAAGAATCTACAGAGCAGCTGTACTAGGTCTTCAAGGAAAAGCTGCCTACCAACACCTGTGCCCACAGCAGGGAGCAGGGGAACGCTCCACATTTGCCTGGCCGTGCCTCTGCAGCAGCTGCTCAGTGCCCTCACCCTGGGTACAGCACGCCCGGCCAGCACACGGGTGTGCTGTACTTTCACTGCTTCACAGAATCATTTAGGCTGGAAAAGAGATCATCGAGTCCAACCTTTGACTGATCACCAACGTATCAACTAGACCACGGCACCAAGTGCCCCGTCCAATCTTTCCTTAAACACCTCCAGGGACGGTGACTCCACCACGTCCCTGGGCAGCCCATTCCAATGTCTAATCACCCTTTCTGTGGAGAAATTCTTCCTGATGTCCAGCCTAAACCTCTCCAGGCACAGCTTGAGGCCATTTCCTCTTGTCCTGTCACTGGTTGCCTGGGAGAAGAGGCCGAGCCCCACCTGGCTACAATCTCCTTTCACGTAGTTGTAGAGAGTGATAAGGTCTCCCCTGACTCTCCTCCGGGCTGAACAAACTAAGCTCGCTCAGCCGCTTCTCACAGGATTTGTGCTCTAGTCCCTTCACCAGCCTCTTTTCCTTTCTCTGGACACGCTGCAGCACCTCAGTGTCCTTTCTGAATCGAGGGGCCCCGTCCCCACCGCTGGCGGGAGACGCCTCGCATGAGGTGCCGCCTGCCCCGGGCCGGCTGCCGAGAGCCACAGCCCGGCCCCGCCTTTCCCCGCCGTGCCGCCGGAGAAATCCGGCCCCGCGGAGCTCAGCCCCTCCGGCACAGAAAGCAGGAGGCTGACGCTCCCCCAGTCGCCAGCACCACTTACCTTTCTCGGGCCACCGGAGGAAGCGGAAGGGGTGGCCCGGCCCGGCCGGCCCCGGAAGGCCGTGAGGGGGCCCGGCTGCATCGGAGGCACGGCCGGGGAGGGACCGGCTGCGCCCCGCGCCCGCCTCGGCTTCCGGGGCTGAGCCGCCCTGGAGCAGCGCCGACCCACCGCCACCTCCCGGCCCCGCTGCCGGGCTCCACCGCCACCTCCCGGCCCCGCTGCCGGGCTCCACCGCCACCTCCCGGCCCCGGGCTCCGCCGTCCGGCCCCGCTACCGGGCTCCACCGCCACCTCCCGGCCCCGCTGCCGGGCTCCACCGCCACCTCCCGGCCCCGCTGCCGGGCTCCACCGCCACCTCCCGGCCGCCGGCCGCAGGGACCAGCCCGCAGCGCCCCGCCCGGCTCCCCTCACGGCCCGGCTCCTCGGCCCTGCCGGCATCTCCTGCTACGCGAGCCGTTCTCGCCTCCCCGTGGTCTGCTCCGGCCGGCGAACAGCGAGCGCGCCGGGAGGGTTCCGCGTTCTCGTATTTCCCGAGTGAAGTTCTTAAACGCTGTTTTAGCAAGGGTATTTGTTAACGAAGTTAACAGAGTCATTAGGGTTGGAAGGGACCTCTGGAGATCATCTGGTCAAACCCCCCTGCCAAGGCAGGGTCACCTACAGCAGGTGACGCAGGAACTTGTCCGGAGGGGTTGGAATGTCTCCAGAGAGGGAGACTCTGCGACCTCCCTGGGCAGCCTGTTCCGGTGCTCTGCCACCCTCAGTTCTTCCTCAGGTGAAACTTATTATGTTTTAGTTTTTGGCCATTGCTCCTCATCCTGTCCCTGGGCACCGCCAAAAAGAGTCTTTTGGCACCTGCCTTTGAGCTATTTTGATGCAATAATGAGATCCCTCTTAGTCTTCTCTAGACTAAACATGCACAGCTTCCGCAGATCTTTCCTCATAAGAGAGATGCTCCAGACACCTAATCATTCTTCTGGCTCTCCGATAGACCTTCTCGAGTAGCTCCTTGTCTTTCTTATAGTGAGGAGCCCAGTGTATGACACGTGGTGCTGGAGGCTGTCCCATGAATTGAAAATATTTTTTGTGGAAATGAAATCTTGTTCTTTAAAGAAGAAGTGATACATTCTACTTTGACCATTTTGGAATGAAAAGCACTGCTTATCTGTTTTGATTTTAATACTATGATGCTTATGTAAGTATATCAATGAATTTTAATATTAGCAAGAAGTAAATGAAACAAATAAGAAAGGCACTTCCATCAATGAAAAATAATTTTGCAAGAAATAGTTATACGGAAAACATCAGCTGGGATGGGGGGGGATGTTTCCTCTAGGAATACTGAAAAAATTGTTCACTTTCTCTGAAATGAAAAATGCAATGCCCTTCTTTAAGGATAAAGGAAAAACATTCTAAACAAGGAATGTAAACATGAATCTTATTTTGTATTTTATCTTTAATAAAAAAAATCTCCATTTCTGTTTTGTTTTGGTTTTTTCGTAGCAAAACATAATAGTTTGAGAGTATCCTAAATGGTGATACGACACCTCAGTACTTATCATGAAATTAGCAGCTTGTGAGATCACCATTAAACTTCCTCCTTTTACATGACTTTTGCATCTGATTTCATAATAAGCATAAGCCATAGTTCATTTACTTGAGTCCAAAAAGCTTTCAACTTCCAGAAGTCTTGGCTACTTGAAGCCCCATTCACCAGACTATTCTTCTACTCTTGCCTGACAAAACCAGAGGATTGGGCTTTGCTGCTGCATGATGTGCTTTTCACATGGAGGTTGGGCAGGACTGATGCCCTAAAACAATTCTTGAAAGTGTGCCTAATACCTCCTGTGATCTAAAAGGTATTCTTGAAATTGTGTAAAACTGGCTGCATTGTATTCTGAGAAATACGATGCACGAGAAAATTCCATGTGAGGAGAGTACTTAATAACCAATAACTTCTTAACTGGTCCAGCTTAAACTGGACATAAAATTAAAGAGCACTGGAATGACAATTTCCTCATGAGGTATATGTGTGCCTGGGGATAGTGATTGCCTAGGGACAGGACTATTTGCATTCTTGCACCTTCCTGTGCAAAAATACCTATTAAAAATCAGGTTAAACTTCTTTTTAAGTTTAACTTTGAAGTTGATTATCACAATTGAGTATGTTCTTCAAATACTCTTTGTTTCCAAAATTTACCTGGAAGTACTTCATAGTTATAAAAAATGGAGAGAAGGTAATGGACAGAAATCAATAAATGTTAGTGATTCAGAAGAATAAACACAAGCCAAAAGAGAAATTCTTACCCCTCCCAGAACCAAACCAACTTTACACATCAAAGAAAAAACCCCAAGAGCTGCCAAAAATAAAACAACCATTATGGAGTTGAATGTTTGGCTGGGGAATTTTCTGTTGACAGAATAGAAGGAAATAAAGGACTGAGACGTCACAAACTCGGGGAAGGTTTGCAGGTTCTGGCTGCTTGTCTGAAGACCATCTTAGAAAACACTGAAGGTTGCCAGGGGCCTGAGGTTCACTACATTCACCAAAGGCAAAGCCTTCACAGTGCAGGTATTTAACAGAAACACTCCATGTATACATACAATGCATGAGAGAAAGAGGAGCATATCATAAATATGGTTTATTTGTCCATTATAAAATTTAACAGACCATTAATTGCTTAAAAATTCCCCAAGAAACAAAGACCTGGAGTAATGGAAGCACTGTGTGGTTACAAAAATGTATCAGTCACAAAAACATTTAGAGCATGGAGAACTAACAATTCTACTGCAGGGCATTGTTCTCATGCTAATAGGAGTAGGAGTTAAGGGTGAACATGAAACGTCACAGCAGGAAACAGTCAACATACCTCTAAGTAAAACATTAAACTGTCCTTGCTTCATACAAGAAATCGTATGAGTTTTCTATGTCCTGGCTGATCCTTGGATGTACTTATTTTTATTTTACACTTGGTCTGGCTTATCTTCTGGTAAAAATGAAGAGCTGACAATTATCAGATGTTCAAGATTTGGGATTTCCTCTTCTCAGTGTAAAGAAGTCAGTAAAATGATTGAAGAGACCTGCATGTGTTTATGTTTCCACTGGGAGTGTGACAGGCGCCTAACTGTAAACTCACCCACTACAATTTTTTTCCAGAGTCGCTTTCTTAATCCTAATCTATACCCATACTTTTATGCCTTTTTTTCCCCCTCTATTTTTCTGGCACTTTCTTCTGCTTCTTCATCATGCCCATTCAAGCCCATCTCTACTGGGCTATATGCAAGGACAGTTTCTCACAGGTGCCTGAAAATTGTTTTAAATTTCATGTGTTTACTTTGGGTTTCAAGACATGCTTGTATTATAGTTTGAACCCAAAGAAAGCATTGTTTTTTACAATCACTAGCTTTAGAGAGGTTTACCCCTGTCAAGCAATATAATTGTGGGGCTGTCATTTATTTTCTGTTAATCTCAGCTAATTTTGTATGTCTGCCTTAGGGTAAGGATATGTTAATACTATTCTAAAACAGAAAAACCCTTTTTTGTGTGGGTGGAAACTCCCAGTGGAGTATGTTATCTTGGCTTTTGTGGTTTGCCATCACTGTATTCCTGTAAAGATCAGCTGTTTTTGCTGTATTTTTTATCAGCTATGCATGTGGTGCTTCAAGATAAAAAAATATAGTGAAAGATATTCCTACACATACATGTATCAATGAATCACCTTGTAAGCACTGACTTTTGTATTTAAGAAATTACACCTGAAAACTCTCTCCTCTTGTGCTCATATGTTTATAGGTGTGTCAGCTCTATGGAGAGCACTGGAATATAATTTTGTTACATGTGAAGCCAAACTTAGTAGTTACTAAGAATCTCAGAGAGAGAGTACCCTATCTGGTTAAATTTGTCAGGATTTGCATTATCTTCACTGCATTAGGAATTTAATGGAAACCACACAAGCACGTCAGGTTCATGATTTCAGCCATGTCTAGTTTTACTGGAACTCCACCTTGAACCATGAAGCAAGACACTAATTACAAAAAGTGTTGCAAAATTGTTTCAAGTATTTTTTGGCTGAATACATACTGTGAGCCTCACACTCCCCCTATCCAGCTACAAGAGCAGCCATGTTCCAGGTTTACTCTAGCCAAGGATCTCATCTTCCAAGTTCCATTTGCATCGCACCACAGCAAGATGAAATGGTATCTTCACTTACAAAATCCTGAGACAGTGATAAGTTAACTTGGTTACTATTCTGGTATGACTTTTCTTAAATAGGAAAAAGAAAGTTGCCTTTAGTGACATGGAACTTGGAGAAGACAGAAAGAAGATGATGTAAATCTGTTAGGCTCATTCTTCCTTCCCTAGTGAGGTTGACTTTTCCATCAAAATACTTCCATTCCTTTGTGGACATTTAAAAAAAAATGTTTTCAAATGGCAGCCAAAATTCAACAGAGTTTTAGTAGCTAATCAAACCCCATTATATTGTGGGGTAAATGAATCATTTGACTTTGAGACCACTGGGACAAACTTTTGTTCCAAATGTCTTGACTGGAATTTATTCCTGTAATGATGTCAGGTGTTCATCTTTTACTCCTATGGATTTGGAGTTTCACAAGCCAGGAAACAAAATGCATACCATAAGGTTTATTTAGAATGGGACAATAGTTTTAACACAAATGAGAAGATATAGCTGGCAGTTTCATAGGGTGCTCTGTGAAGATTAATAAAACTTAAGAATATGACATATTCCAACAGCAAAAGGGCTTCTTAGCTACAATTTTACTTTTCACGACAAAAATGAAATTCTAAATTTCAGATTTTGCTTATGTAATCCTTTTACCATAACTTGGCAGCTATGCTCATGGCTGGGTCGATTTAACTCAGGATCTCTTCTAAAATTAACAAACTTAGTGACTCAGGAATCTCAGCCAACTAAATGCTTCTTTTGATGCTTTCTGCAGACAGCATTGCTATCAGAAGTCCTTACTCTGCTGTAAAACAACACACATTTCACTAAGATGAACACAGCACTACTCCGGACACCTCTCCCCGAGCCCCACATAATCAACCAAGCATTGATACAAGCAGCAAGTGGGTCAGCTCCTCATCAGCCCGTGGGATGACAACCTTTTGCTTTTATTTTCCTCGCTGGAGTGACTGTTTGGTGGACAAATGCTCCTTTGCTGACAGGTCAGTGAAAGGGCGAGACCTCCTCGCCGTTCTGCGTGGCGGGGCTGTGAAGAACCAGCCCCGGCCGTGCGGGCTGCCCGCCCCCGCCGCGGGGACGCGGCTCCCGAGGCGGGACGGGACGGGACGGGACGGACGGGACGGGCGGCGGCGCCGCGCCCTCCTGGGCACTCGGGACTGAGCTCCCGGGGAGAGGGACGAAGCCTCCGCCGCGCCGGGCAGCGCTGCGAGGCGATGTTTCCCCTGTGGAAGGCCGTTCTCTCGGAGAGCCTCCTGGGTAGGTGGCGGCGGTGCCTCCCCGCGGGGCTGGGGGCAAGGGGCCGAGCTTGAGGGCACCGGGCGGGGGGCTGTGCCTGGACCGGTCGGCGGCCGTGGCGGGGCAGCCCCTGCGCGGTGTCCCGGGGTCACGGACCGTGGCGAGGTGTCGCCGGTGAAACGCTCCTCCGCTAGAAGTGCGTGAATAGTGGTCACTGCTGCGTGTTCTTCTTAGGGTCCTTTTTTTTTTTTTTTTTTCCTCTGGTGCTGGAATGCCTTTTGTCTCTTAGGTTAGCCTAGGATTTATTGCTGTCCTCGGCCGGGTATTGTGCAGGTGTTGCAGAGCCGGTGCTGTGCTGCCCTGCGCAAGTTGGGGCGCTCAGGGCAGACCCTGGAACCCTCCGGGCTGCGGCTCGGCTGCTCCGTGCGTCTGTCTGCAAGGCGTGTGGAAACTCAGCGCAGTGCTGGTGTGTCTGGATAAGGTGTCTCCAGGGGAGACCAGCACACCGCTTTACTAGAAAAATTCCTTTAGCCGCCAATCTGACTTTGAGGAGCCCTGAGACTGTGGGTGGACTGCTTATTTAGGCAACATTGATCCCCCTGAACAGTAACACTTTCTGAGGCTGACCACTCCTTCACTGAGGATCAAAGAAGGAACTACTGTCTAAATGGGGAAAGCACTATTTTATTTTCATCATTTTATTTCCTGGGAAAATGTATTTATTTAACTTGAAATAGCAAATATTTCTTCACATAAAGTGGCTTCAAATATGTTTGATAGTCTAATGTGGAAGTATAAAATCGTAGTTTTTAAGTAATCTCCAGGAAACCTTGCTGTTGAAACTACATGATGGAATTTTCTTTTTCTTTTTGGTGTTTTTTGGTGTTTTGGTTTTTTTTAGGCTATATTTCTTGGTCTCTTTACCATGCTCTGCCACCGATGATCTACTACTTCCCCCTTCAGACACTGGCACTCACGGGCCTAGAAGTTTTTGCTGTTGCTTTCTTTTCGCCAGTATTCTTGACAATTGGCCCTTTATGGAGGTTGGCTAACAATAAGTACGTCTTAGCCTTTCTGAGATTGACTATGGTTGGTAAGTACACTGTAGTGAGTTACAGATTCCATTTTGTTATCAAGGCATAAGAAAAAACCTTCCAAATTGCCTTGAAATTCAAATTATTACAAAAACAGACAGCAATAAGAAGTTCTCACTCTCCCCATACTCATGTTTTGTTGGGATTTTTTCCTCCCCAGCTTTTTAGTCAGAGGAATATTGCTTACAGCCATTGTGCTGGGTTACTGCATAATTAAAGAAAAGTCTAATTTCACTTTTATCTCTAGAAGCTTTAAAATTAGTATGAGTCATGCCCAGTAGGAAAGATGTATTCAGTATTACACAGAGCTCAGCAGAGCACGTGGTTTTTTTGTACAGCAGTTCTGTGTCTGTGACAATGGGTAGGGACGAGACATCATCTTGGGGCTATAATAAAAGTAATCTGCTATGAGTGAAACATTCTTTTTGGTAGACTTAGTTTTTGAGGCAGTTTTTTTCTTCTAAGAATAGATTTTTTAAATTAAATTTATGTAGATGCCTGTAGCATATTAATGGGGTTACAGGCTCATCCTAAATATGAAATTACTTACATTGTTAGTTGCACAGGAAAAAATTTTGATCATAAATTTAGGAAAAAGCTTCCCTGCTACCCACCCCACATGCTCCTCCTAAAACCAAGGCTTGCTGGGATTCCTGCTTTGGTCTTAAGCTAACTGGTGCAAATCTTACCTCTTGTTGATTTTCTGAAAATTTGTTGGGAGAAGATTTGGTGTCTACAGCCACATTCAGAAACAAGTTATTGCTAACTAATTTGCAACACCTGGATGAACTCAGAAGAGGCAAGGGTCTTCACCCTGTGTAGAGATGAAAATACTGCTGCTGAGTGATGTGTCTCCTGGCTCCTCATTTGTTAATCTAAAATGATAATCAGGGAATCACTTTCCTTATAGTTTTCCTCTTTTTTCTGTTAGAAGACAGAATAAGATCATCTTATTTACTTTCCCTGAATATTTTTTGAGAAGAATTCTTGTTCTTTATCTCTAGAAAGATACCGGAACTGAAGCCAGTTTGTTGGTGTCATTGGTTTAGATGAAGAATAGTCTTACCATCTTCTTTTCTTTTACTACTCTTCCTATTATATCCATCCTAATACCTTTTTTTTCCTGTAATAAGCTTTTAAGTGAGCAGAATCTTCTACTTCAGCTTCCTGCAGCAGTGCTCAGTGTATCTCTTCTGCAAGATTTTCTAATTTAGAAACTAGTAATGAGCGTAAGCATTTAAAATTGCACCCTGCATTCCTTCAGATTTCACGGTGACACAAAATTTGCCATGTTTATTTAAGATTAGTCCTTCAGATCACCTTGCTGTGTTTACTAGTTCACTTTACCAAAAGAGATGGGACTCACTTAAAAGTGTGTAATTTTTTTCCTGCTAAGTAAAGAGCAGTGACAGGCTCTGTAAAGTCTGTTGGTTCATGTCTATTTGCTTCACCTGCATCACAAGCTCCTGAAAGTATTAACTCCAAATAAAAAGTTAGCTCATTCAGTAGTAATCTGGGGCAGAGATGTGTTAATGGAGGTGGTCATAGAAAAACTCAGAGCAGGGAGATAAAAGCTGTGCTCATCCTCAGTCAGGGCTAACCAGAGTGTTGCTATATGCAAATTCCATCTCTCCTTCATTCCTGCCTGAACAAGAACTGTTCCCTCAATGACCTCATATTCCTGCTGCTTTCACTTCTCAAACACTCTTAATATTGTCCACCCTTTTGCAAATCTACACCATATTCTCTCCCAGCTCTATTGTACATACCCTTCATTCTCTCTACCCCTTGCCCTACAGTGAGCATTAGCATTTGGGGAAGATGTGAGAGCATGTTCCTCACCCTCTTTGTCTCCAGCAAGGAGTTTAGCAGCCAGTGGTAACCCTCACTCTTTACTTGCCTCCATGTTGCAGGTTCTCAGGTTAGCCAGATGCCCTTGCACAGGCAGCACTGGGCTTTAGGACTTTCCACATATATATTTTTACTTAGTTCTCATCACCTCATTTTGTCTCTTATGTTAGGTCTGTCCCATCATACTGTGGTACTGTTTCTCCTGTTTCTCAATTCTTCCTGTTTTTTTTCCCTCCTTCATACCTAGACACCTGATTCTCTTTTTGATCTTTTATTTCCTCCTCAGAAAGGCTATGGTCTTCCTCTGGGGCTTATTGAACAATCAGGCAGAACAATCTACCCCATGCTCCACCCCATTCCACTGGAAATACTCAGTCCTAAATTTCACAATCAAAAAATCTGAAAATTCTTCATGCTTAGCTAAAACCATATTTAGGGGATTTTTTGTTTGTTTCTTTCTTTCTTTTTGCCTTTTCAGGAGGCTTTATTTTCTCTAAAAATTTTAATTCCATAGTACTTGATTTTGTGTTCTATTTAAAAACAAACAGCAACCAACTACCACGTGGTAGTGTCTATATGAATCTGTGTCTTCAGACAACACACATTAAATCTGGGTGTTTGGATAGATATATTTAAGTTTTGGGTGTACTTGCTCAGCAACAAAAGGTGTGTCAGTTGTAAATTGGCAAACCCATGCTAGCTTTAATCAGGGTAGTGTAAGTGATGAAAGATTTGAAGAGGCAGGTTTATGGATTGCCAGTACAGTTTAGCAAAGAAATCTCTGTGCATTGTACATGCAACTCCTGCTGAAGTCCATACAAAAACATCTTCACTACACATTGATTTCATTTTATCATGTTGGTGCTAAGCTTTGTATCTTTTACTGTGAGCAGAATGAGCAGGTAGACATTTAGAGGATTCCTAGCATGTGTTGCCAGAATCTGCAACTCCATTTCTGACCTTGCTTGCTTAACATCTCTTCAAGTTTGACTCATACTCACTTAGCAAATGGCTGGCAGCATAACAATGTTGTTTCTCCTGATATTTGACGTTGGTCCTGGGCCAGATTTTACCACACTGAGTGAGGTTACGAGAATGTATGTGATCCATAGTCACTTAAATTGGAAACCTGCTAGCAGAGTTTGAAACTGCCAATAAGGTGAGGTCACTGTGCCGTGGGAACTGGCGAGGATGTGTGTGTGTGCACACTCTCTTTCAGTGACTGGGAGAGTGACAGTTTCCAGTAATAAGATGACACAGGCTGGTAGTGACCACTCTGAAATCAAATACTGGGCCAGAGGAAGCCTTGTTCACACCTGCTAAGGCAATTGACTGCTAATTCCTGAGCAGTGTATGGTGACTGCTCCCGTCTCATTAAGGATATGGCTTTTGCCACAGTGTACTTGCTTTTATAGCTGCACTTACTTTTAGAAGTGCACTGCAGCAAAAGCCGTATCCTGTTTAGAAAGCAGCAGTCACCATACGTAAAACTTTATGGCTTTTGAGTTATGTAAGTGCACAGTTGAGGAGTATCTGCATGCTTAGTTATTTTATCCATATATCCTATTTATGGAATCAATCATCATAAGTACTTCAATTAAGGCAATCACTGCACTGTTGGATAATTGCTTCATGTTATCTTTTTCCTTGAAAATGATAACTGCTATAAAGTCATATGTACCCCCTTACTATCCATACCTACATTTCTTTGCTTTGTTTAAAAATGGATAGTGTCATGTGTTTTCAGAGGAATGGTGTAGCTATTCAAATTACAGACAAGGTTGAACTAATGCACAGGAAATCCTTATTACCTGATCTCTACTGCCCATTAAAACAATATCTATCTGTGTGTGTTTCTTTGCAGGAAGCTTAGCATCATACCAGGCACCAAATGCTTCAATTAGACTGTTCATCTTGGCTGTTGGTGTTTCTTCTTCATTGCTGGTTCAAACAGTAACCTGGTGGTCAGGAAACAGTTTACAAAGGTATTTTCTTATGCTGATGGGATTGTAACTGACATTTCCTTATATTAAAAGGTGTTTTCTTTCTTTTTTATCCCCTAGAAGTTATGATTTTTTTCTTTTCCCCAAATGCCTTACTATTTCAAAAGCTGATTCTTACAGGTTCATCAGGATATGGGGCTTCATGCTAGGCAAGATAGTGCTCCTTGTTCTTCGCATCTGGTATACGTCACTAAACCCAGTCTGGAGCTCACAGGTTGCTAACACTGTCATTATGACAATAGGTTTTATAGCAGCAGTGGAGCGGATTTATTCAGGTAAGCAAAGATGACAGTTATGAAAACATCCTAAAGTAAACCTATCTATGTGCCACTGGGTTTTGATTATTTGATTATTTTTTTTTCCCAGTGTAGAGTCTGTTCTTAGACCTGATGCATGAGCTTTAGAAGCCATGGGGTACTTCCATCTACCCATAACATGTCAGAACTGGTATCACAATTCATACAAGCTGTACTAAATTGGTGTTGGTACTGCCAACTAATTGCAGTGTCAATAATGTGACAGTAACACAAACAAAGGCATAAGCTAGACCAATAAAAGCACAATGGTTATTGTCATTCCAGCATGAAACATCTGTGGTATTTCTGTTATTTTCTTAATTCAGTCTGCACTTTTACATTCTCTGCCAGTGCATATCTTTTGACAGAGAAGGGGAGACAGGACAAAGCTGGGGAATAGCTGATGTGTCAAAATAGAAAGTATTGGAAGAGTGGACAAGTTGTCCTGGTCAAAATTTGCCTGAGCTCTTGGAGTGTTTGGAGACAGTGTACAGCAGTGGTGGATGGCATAGGCTAAGCTCACTTAAAAACTGTGAAGGTGGTATTGCCAAGGAAGACAGCATGGTTAGTTAAGTTGATTAGTTAAGGCAGCTCATGTTAAATCTTCAGAAGCTCCTTCCTTCTCAGTATAACCTGAATGAATTAATTGAAAGATAAAACCTTATCCATGTGTAAGCGGGTATAAATTATCATCATGCGTATTGTTTGTAGGCTTGCATTACATAACATAAATTAAGCCTGAACTTTCATCAGAATTTAGAAAGTGAATCTACTGCAAGAGATGAGGAAGGAAATATGTCTCCTTTGTGGATGACAAAGTGATATGTCTATGCAATTAAATGTGCTGCTTTCTCCTTAGATGAGAGAGGATCTACAGTGCATGGAAAAAGGAGAAGGAAAGGAGTTTAGTTCTGGCTTATTTGGAAGTGTCGGGTTTTGTTCTTATCAGAGCTTAGAGTTTCAGAGAACAGAATCCTCTGAACAAATTCCAATAACTTTTCTGCTGATTTTCAAGGCCAGTTTAATTATTTAAATTTCAGTATTATGAAGAATAATCAAATGGGCAGGTTACCATTTTTGTACACTTACTGTGAGTAGCTTTTCCTAGCATACCTAGGATTGTTACTAGAAATTTTTAATTTTTTTTTTTTTTTGGTGTTATCAATTTCCATGAATTATCAGATAAGTTAGCTTTTGTGTCTGTAATTTATTCTGGTAATTTTGTGACCTTGGCTGTTTCTTTTTCTCAGGAACTCTTGCTAATGGAATTTGACAGTTTGCTTAGCTGCATTTCTGTGCTTATTCTAGGTGGAGACAGGAGGAAACAAGAAGCAAACAAAACTGGTAATGCAGTTAGAGAGACTGGTTCCCATCCTTTCTGGCTTTTTATCTGGGGTTGCTTTTGGCAGCCTCATGTTCCTCACCCTATGGATATTTGGGGAGGTCTCATTAATTTCTAGATGGGCAGTAAGTGGACATCCAGATACAGGTCCAGATCCTAATCCACATGGGTAAGTGGATTTTTATTATTATTATTTAAACAAAATAGTACTCGAAATCCAGTGCTGTAGTGGGAGATGAATTAAAACTCAACCAGATGGTGGTATAATAATTTAAATAGAAAAAAGTGGGTACAAGATAATTCACACCGATGACTTGTAGATTCATTCTTGCTTCCAGATAACTCTGAACATTGTGTCTAGACCACAAAATCTTAAAATTTTCTAATACAGAGTGGTTTATTTCAGCCATAAAATCTTAATTTGTAACATTGTAAAACAATTTTTAGATTAGGACCGAGGTTGGAGGACTTATGAATGCAGTGCATCTGTAATAGGCAGTAAATTAGTCTAGCAGTTGACTTCAGAGAGGAGATGATCAGAGATGCATGCACATAATTAAACTGCTTGCAGTATTAAAAGATATACTTCTGTAGGCATTTGTAGTCTTAATGCTGCATGTGGTTCCCCTGGGTTACAAAACCCAGGAAGAGACCAGATTAGTTATTCTGAGTCACCTATGTGGAGTGGCAGGTGACAGAGTTTATAATTTGGAGATGGTATACAAAAGAGCTACCCAAGACTGATAGCAATGTTAGATGCTCTAGGATCCCCTATTTGAAGAAAATACTTCTGTTTGCAGTAGATTCCTCCCTCTCATTTTCTCTGAGCTGTTTTTGCCTTTTGTACCTAGGATTTCAGTGGGCTGCTTCTGGTGCTGAACATAGCTCACTTATACCTTACAATAAACTGCCACCATTTTCAACTGGATGTTTTTTACATCCAGTAGAGAGGAGAAAATATAGCAGGGTGTGAGGTAAAGATATTGTGTACTCAAATTAAGTCCTGTTTAAAGTAAAAGGGTTATAAAATATTACAAAGCATCCTTGCCTTTATGTCTAGAAGTTTCTTTTTGAGTGCAAGGTGTTTATAAAATCGTATTAGTGGATGATTTCTTTTCCCTTATTGTTATATTAGAGGTACAGTTCTGTTGGGCCTGGCTCAGGGACTGATGCTTTCATTTTGGAGCTGGTCTTCTGTCATCAGTTTTGCCTGGTTTCTCATAGGTAGGTGCAAATCCTGAGCAGAATTTTTGTTTCTGTTACCTTTTTCTTTTACTCAAGTCCTCTGACCTTACACCACATCTCAGAAAAGTGTGGCTACTCAAAGCCTCCTTTTCCCTGTCATTGACAGTAGTACACGTGTCTGACCCGCTGACTAAGGACTACAGGCCAAATCTCCAGGCCATTGTAGAGCAGTGTTATTCTCTGCAGAAGCCTCTGTTGAGGTTCTGTTCCCTTGAGCAGCATTTCTGTTCTGACCATCTACATTGTACAACGCACTGGACTTGATGATCTTAGAGGTCTTTTCCAACATTAGTCATTCTCTGATAAGGCTACATGGAGGGTTGTGGGGTTAAGGTGACACGAACCTTTCAACTCTATAGGAGGCAAAATAACTTGTAATTTGGTGTGCAGTTCATCTTGAGGCAAGCTTGCCTGCTGTCTCCTTAGTTGCCAAGATCTCCAGGCAGTAAAATAATATGAACATCAAAGCAGGCTTACTGGAGCAATATGTTTGTAAATCAGCCTGCATACTGATTGGGTGGGTCTTAGGTGGTGGGAAGTGGGACTCAAGTACTGGATCTGGGCATCCGTTTTCAAGAGGAAGGTGTAGCTGTGCTGTGGAGCGAGTGATACATGGAGCAAGTAGGAGGAGATGAAAGTAATTCTGCTCCTGAACTGTGGAGAGGTGTGTTTTCCATGCTGTCTCAGCATGGATGGATAGACACTGCTTGGTTTAATCTGTCATTCCATCTGAGTAAAATATAGTGGTATAAATGCTGTCTAAAAAAACTTTAAATCTGCTTCTTTTTTTGGCCTTAGCTAATTGTTTGTAGATCTTTATATAAAGAAGGCAAAACAGGTCTTCCTACAAATGTTTGGTAATAAAGTGGGACTTAACAAAATACGGTGACCAAAGGAAATGATGAGTTATATTTTGGTTTCTTCTCATTCACCTTCTGTTTTGGAGCACTTAAGAGTGCACTTTCAAGTCATTTTCCACAACCCTGAAGACAAGAAATAAACTGAGTTTCTCCTAGCCAGGAATCAAAATAAAATACCAAATATCAGGAGCGTCACAGTGAAGGTACAAGAGTTGCCAATACTTAAACCATCAGTTGCCCAAATAATTTACCCTTTGGTGCAGGTGTTAGTTTTAGGAAATATGTGTGCAGATCATAATGTGAATATGAGCATCTGTTTTTTAATGTACACACATTGCTAATTTAAAATGACTACAGAATGGTTCTTTAGTTGATTCAACCACTGTATTTTAAAATGCTCAGAACCTTGATGTATAACAGTAAAATATTAAAAGCATAGGTTTTTTGCCCATTATATCATCATCTACAGGGAAAAAAGATCAAGGAAAGATATGTTTGCTCTTCATATTAACCTGATTGATTCTTTCTTTATTATGGTAAAGGAGGTTCATAACAGGCAAATCTGATAATCTCTTAAAGAGTGCATCATCCCTCTGTTGTGCTGGGAGAGCTCTATGTAAGAAAAACTGTTTAGTTTTGGCTCTTGATGATGTTTCTCTGCTGTCTTTTTGCTGCACTGTTTTCAGCTGAATAAGCAATCTTTAAAAAAATGAGATGTTGGGAAAAGTTAAGAGACTGTCTTTGGCAGTTGCGAAATTCTAGTGATGCAGTTTTCATGGCTTCAAAGCACAGATATATTTCCCAGACTGTATTTTTTCATAGATTGTGGAAATGAATGTGGCAGATAATATGACTGAGACTTACTGTATTTTTTCTATACCTTCCCAGGTTTGGCATCTTCAGCTGGTCTTCTTTATTTACACACCTGGAGTGCTGCTGTTGCAGGCAACATCCTTGCTGTCTTTACTATGTCTGTGTGGCCACATCTAGCTGGACGCTTTGCTAGCTGTCTGCATCCTGGGAAAGCCATGAGTACAGCCATGTTTGCCTATGTCCTTGAATTGTTCTTCTGCGTATGGTGTACAGCTTATAAATTTGTACCTGGAGGAGTTTACATTAGAGAAAGCTCCCATCTTCTTTTAGGTACATTTCTGAATATGAACAAATACAAATACACTTGCTTTAGCCTCAGCCAGACACCTGAAATGTATCTAGCATATAAAGGGTCTTTCCAAATGCTCAGTTGGTGTTACATTTACTATGGTAAGAGTTTGAATGAGAAAATTAATGAGATATGCAAAAAAAAAATACACTTGTTTCTTTACTGTTAGAAATAGTCTAAAATGTGGACAAAAAGTGGAATTCAGTTGGGTGAAAAAAGACAAAGAGAAAAAATGTCTGATAACTCAGTATGCAACTGAGGAGGAGATCTGTTAATCAGTCACCCTTGAAACCTGGCTGCAATCCAGGGTGTGAATGCACCTATATGCTACCTCCCCAAAGCAGCAGTATGATACCTCAGGTAACAATGTAGTTACTGGGACCGTGACATAATTCAGTGCATTAGTAAGTCCTGCTCTGAAGAGCAAAGTGTATCATCCTGCTGATCTAGGTAGTAGATCTACATTTGAGACCTGAGCTTCTTTTCCATGTGGCTCTACCTTATGTTTTGTGGACACACCAGCATGTTTGGAGGAATCTAATCAAACCTGCAGTGTCAGAAACATGCAAACAGGAGAGGAATAAAAAAAAATTGTCAAGCAAATAAGGAAGAACCGAGTTGAGTAAATATAAAGGCTTTAGCCAAATGATCACTTGTTGAGGGTGGAGAGATGGAAATCAAACCAACCCTTCCTGGTTTTGTCTCCAGACTTATTTTCTCAGTAGGTACTAAAGTGTTTCAATAGCATATTTCACTAACTATATTTAAACGATGCCAAACATTGTCTTGGGCTAATTGTGTGGCACATTTTTAAAATGTGACGCATGAGCCTGTATTTTATTTGGACAGGATTAATGAATGCTGTGCTTGACTTGTTGCTCCACTGGTTTTAGATTTCATAACTGTTTTTGCAACCACTTTCTGTCACTCCAGTTTCTTACTCTCTATAAGCATTTCTTATATTACAGCAATGACATTAGGGATTTCAGTTTGTTATCTTTTGAGGAGAGTTCTGTTCCATTATTGCATTATTTTCTTTGTTCTCAAAACACTCTGGGGGGTCTGTAGAAACAGTATCTTAGTTAGTTAAACCTTATTTTTTGAAGTTATATGAAGAAAGCATGTGGTAGAGGAATGTGAAATGCTTTCTTGAGTAATGCTTTGACAAAAGAAAAGCTTTTATATAAAATCCATCTCTGTTACTTCCTTTGAAATACAGTTGTGATTAATTTACCTGGCATGATCACAAGGTAGTAACACAGAGATGGTCCTAACTTTTTCTTTAGTAAAATGAAATCTGTGAACTGAACCCATCTCAGCTGATGACACTACATGAGTTTAAATTCCATCTGAGAATCCAGTCTTTTTAATGCCATCCCATTGCTTATCACAGATTTGTAAATTATACTATGAGACTGCCTATTTGTTGCTGTGCTTCTACCCTTACAGCTTGGCTTTCTGGCAAACTGCTTGTTTTCTTCTGGTTTCTTTCAGGTGCAATTGCTATTTCTTGCTTTCTCCTCCTGTCCAATATCCTGCCTTTCTCTTGCTGCAGTTTGGGTAGGGAGCTGCACCAGGAAAACTGACAATGGAAGTAAGATCATTGTATTCAAAATGTCTGTGCTGCTTTACTGTGATGTGATATAATGCTTGAGGGTCAGATTCCTTTAATGGCTGTGAATCAGCCTCCCTTTGAGCAAGGTTTGTGTGTGCCCCCTTCATCATTACTCTAAACCTTGCTTGGTTTGCAAACTTTCACTACAACTAATGTAACAAGTAAGGACAATAAAAAAATACTGAGCTATAACTATGAAGTTAAACATGGCTTCTATAGTTAATTAACTATGCCACAAAGATATTAAGGACATGTATTTTCTCCAGCAGAGCTCTTACCCAATTTGTTATCCTCCCATGTTTTCTTTGAAGGTAATCGGATCCTTTATCTCATAAGGAATGGGAAAAGACCTTGTAATAACAAGTCTGAACTACTTATTTAAATATATCTTTCCATTGCAATGCAACAGTTAGTGTAGAAATTGTTTATTAGCTTTTAAAATGTTTCTACATGCGTGTTTAGTTGTCTCTTCCTAAAATGCAGAGCTGTTTCTGTTAGCCCTGGAGTGCAAGAATATAAGTTACTGCCATGTTAAAATGACCTTCCAACTGCTGCAATCTGTTTATGCTGTTTTAGTACAAAGAGTCTGCTTTTGTAAGTCTTATGGAAAAAACCAGTGTTACTTGTATCTTGGTGACAGAGCAGTTCATTTGTAGATAATAGGTATCTACAATCAACAATGTATTTTTTTCATAAAGCTGTTATTTTTAGGTTCTGTAATATGTAGATGCAACTTAATTGCCCTTGTCCAGGTTGATTTCAGTAAACTTTGAAAACAGTGGACAGAGCTGAGAGTTGTAGCCAACAATAGGGCCTGGAAGGATTTTAGCATGATTTATCTACCTTGTGCTAGCCTTTTTGACATAATACCCTGGAACTATACTGCAAATCAGTCTTTGCTTGAGAATGCTGCCAATAATCTTATATGTCCTGCATTGCTACATTAGGTATTGCAGTTATTTGCATTTGTGCTTTCAATCATTTTTGTTATTGGAACCAGAGATTTGTTGTGTTGTAACATAACAGCTGGAAGTTTATAAGTGTTTTATTTATGAGAAATGTTTAATGTGTTAAAGCTCTATGAAAAAACTAATTACTCTTATTTTTATAGGTTTTATAATGTTGTGTATTGGGCTAGATTTTCTAACAGGACCCAAGAAAGACCTTAGCTCTACCTTTGAAGTGAAAAGCAATCAAAAGCCACTATTCAAAAAGACTAAAAAATATATTAAACTATGTAAGTATAAAATCACTTCCTTTTTTCCCTGACTGTAGGGATACTGTCTGAGGGAAAAGAGTGACACTGTGGAGCTTTTTGCTCAGAGGTCTTAGAAATGTGGGGTTTTTTGCTGGTTTTAGAGACAGACTTGTAGCTGGTATTGCCCTGGTTCCAGTTTAAGGATGACATATTCTACTGGAGGAGCTGACTCACTATGATAACAACTAACAGAAGTTATTTCCTGATGGAGTGTGTCAAATAGAGACCAAAAACCAGGTAAAAACCAAAATTTGCAAATGGATTGGATTCAACAGCATTTGTGGTTTCATTTCAGTGATGGAGGAAGAGGCCTCTCCGGATCTTGGGATTTACAATGTGTACACAAAAGATAGGAATAATTTCTTGGCCTGTTTGTTATGTCATTTTTGAAGCAGTTCAGTGTGACAGCCATCCTAGGGCTGTGTGAACTGGCTGGCAGTGTGAGGGCACTTGGCTGGCCCAAGAGCTGCTCTGCAGTGTGACACCCCTCCTGCGTGAGGAGGCAGTTCTGCAAAGCCTGTTGTGGCTGACATCACAAATACAATCTTGATGCCTTGCTGCATGTTCAGGCCAGGCCTATCCTCAGGAAACCCTTGTCATCTTCTGCCTGTGAACTATGCCTAAGGATCCCAGCTTTCCAGATTGTATGTATGGGATCTGCTTTTTTCCTTGGGTTTTGAAGAGAAACAAAAATCAAGTGTTTGAGGGTTTACTACTTTTTGGCTTTTAAACCTCAGGAAATCATATAAATGGTGCTTTTGTTTTCATTGTTAGCTTGTTTTTTCTGAGGAAAAACATCTGTCAATATTGTGAAGTTTGGTAAAGGAAAAAATTGCTAAATATTAGGGCATGCTAACCCTAGAGAGATCAGGATGATAAAGGTTCAAATTCCACACTTTTTCTTCTTCTGTGACTTTGGATCAAATCACTTGCCGTTTGTGTACATTTTTGCTGCATTTGGAAGGCAGAGACAATAGTACTTCACAACTTTTCAGGGCTGTTTCTGGAATCTTTAGGGAGGAGTTTACTCTGTATATTCAGGGCCCGGAAGAATGTGGCCCATGAGAGTTTGTGCGTCAGAGGCAATGTGAACACCAGTTCAAGTGGTTTGAATATTGCTGCTCAGAAACATTTCACCAAAGTGAGTGAATATTTCAAAATACTCCTTGTAACAAAGTACAGCCCTTGTTCAGTTAATCTGGTGTCATTGCAACAATACTTCATGTACTTCCTCATCATGCCCAGACTTGCATTGTTTCTCAGCTTTCCCTTTAAGCACCTTTGCGTCTTGCAGAGTATGAAATTACTTGACATGTGCTAATTTAAACTGCATTTCCTTTCTTCTGACATAATCTATTATCATATTTTTTTAAATTTTACACAAAATTGTTCCAGAAAACTTGCATTACAATAATTTCTCAAGTTCTTGAAGATATGAAAGAATAAACAGGAGTTACTGAAATCATTGTAGATAGCATATACCATTATGTAAATGAAATAACTGAGAAGGGCTTTGATCATCAAATTACAATGTGCCAAATGCTGAGAGCTCTTAAGTGTCCACTGTATTTATTTGGAAGACTACTGGAGCAGTGGGAAAACTCTGAATATGCTTTCTGTGAAGACAAAGTGCTTTTCCAGGAATGTGTCAAACAAATGATCACTCTGGAGGTCTGGCAGGGATCACATCTTTGACGTGTAAAGGCTTACAAAGTAAACTAAATTTTATTCCACTAGTATTAACACAAAAATTGTGTACTTCAAATGCATACCTGCAACACAGAGAGGAAAACACTGAGAAGTTTACATGATCCTCTTACTCATCTCCTGTAACAAATTCTTCAGTAGATACAATTTTTACGTAACTATTCCAGAGAGTTTTGGTGTATTTTATCTATTCAACATGTTGTGTTTTGGAGAATGTAAGTGTATTTGCACACATACAGATACTCTGCATGCATTTAAATACTCTTAAGAGCACTGCCTTGGACTGGTGTTATCCCTGGCATATGTGGAAATTTAAATGGACACATTTCTCATCTTATGAATAGCACGCCTTAGAAGAACAGTGTACCCTGTTCTGTTTTAACTACAACAATGTATTTTTTTCTTGCTTTAAAAACATCATTTTTGTATTTTTCTATTTCAAGTCTTGTGGCTGTTTGTTGGTGTTGGTTTGCTTGGACTGGGTCTACGTTATAAAACTTATCAGAAGAAGTTGGGCCAAGGGGTGAGTAGTGTTTTTGAGAAAATGGGAATTTTCAAATATACAGTAGTATGTGCATGTGATACTTTAGGTATGTTAATTGGTGCTGAAGAAGTTTTTGTATCAGTATCCAAGAATTCAGCAAAAGTAACACAGAAATGAAAATGCAAAAATTTAGTTTGTAGATTTATGTTGAATATGGGAAATGTTTGGGTGATTGGAGATTTAAGGTACTGCTGTGAAGGAAAAAAATATTCTGAAAAAAATAGAGATTCTTGCCACATATGTTAAATTTGAACGTTACTTTTATAAATGAATTTATTTTAGTTGTATTCAAGCTTGACTTGATAATGCTGTTAGCAGCCTGATCTCATGTCAGGGAAGTTTGAGCAGATAATCTCCTGAGGTTCCTTCCAGATGAAGGAATTGTGTGCTTCTATATTTAAATGCATAGCTCTGAATTTAAACTCTCTGAAAAGTTGGTTGACCTGGATTAGACTTAGACTAGTTATGGAAATTGGATAAAAATCATAAGATTCCAGTTTTCTATCTGGCAAAAAATTGTGTATTGTGATGATCGTAACAAGATGCTTAAGGCTTACAAAGTTTACTGTTAATAGCAGACTAAGTCTTTTATAATCCTGACATCTTTATTAGGAAAATATAAAATATAAAACTTCTCTTCTTGCATGTCTTTTATGGCACTGTGTATCTGATGTTGTTGGCTGCAAAGCTATAATACATAAAAGTTAAATTGCACTTTACTTTTTCCATTTTTTTTTTTTGAGGTTCCAAAAAGAGACTTCTCTGCTATGATCTGGCCTTTTAGATTTGCATATGACAATGAAGGATGGTCTAATTTGGAAGGATCAGCTAACTTGCTTAATCAGACAGGTAACTATTTTTTCCCCCTTCATTCATATTTGAGAGGGTTCATCTGAAGAGAAATAGGTATGAACACCTGCTGGGTAACTGAGTCCATTTTTACATTAACACAAGAATCTGTGTTTAGTGTTTTTCTCCTGAATTGGTGAGCTGTTCTGTCCCAGTTTGAGTGAGACAAGGGTCTTTTGCTGAGGATGGATTAGGAGGAAAAGACCCAAACTTCTCTTTCTAAGCAATTATAAATCCAAAATTAAGAGGCTCTGATTGAAGGAAAACAAATTATGGAAAAGGGAAAATAACAGCCATTTATTAAAAGGTATGTGTGTATTAACAGGAATACGAAAAAAACCAAGTAAAATAACTAAGCAATGCTCCTACACCCACCAATAATCCCCTTCAAGAACAAAACCGATAAACCGGCAAAAGGAAGATTAAACAGTTCGATTTTTGCACCCTTTGATGCAGTTCCAACCACAGTCAGCAGGTCACTGGAGATGCAAAATTTGTAATGTCCTGTACCATTCACCAGGTGGCGCTGTTGGGTCACTGAAGGTGCAGAACTTGTAGTGTCCTATTGTAGTCACCAGGTGGCGCTGTTGGATCACTGGAGGAGCAGAACTTGTAATGTCCAGTGCCCGTCACCAGGCGGCGCTGTGAGATCCTTGGGTGCCACCAGGTGGGGGGGTGGAAGAAGGGAAAGGAAAAACAACAGCAATAAAACAGAAAGTTCTCCCAATGGAAGAAAACTCACAAACTTCAGCTGATTAGGGTCCGTTGTAAGCAGGGCCTGCAGCCAGCCACAGCTGAGCCAAGAGCAGCAGCAAAAACTCCCCTCCGACAGGAAAAAAAAGCAAAGAAACCCGGCAGTGTCTGCAGCCCGCAGCAGGCTCCCCTCAGCCTCCACCCCCTTCCAGTCACACACCAGCCAACTCCTCCCCCTTCGTTGTCAAGGAAACTAAATCTCGGCCATTAGTGGGTTGGGGCTGATTCTTTTGTTCAACTAATGGCCCATATACAGAGCGCGCACGCACACACACACGGCAGGGGGAAAGGAAAGAAAAATTCCTTGCTAAAATCGGAACTATGACATGTTCCAATACAATCACTTCTGTAAAAAATCCATTTGCAGAGGCAGTAACTTGCTTAATGTGTTTTTAAAAAGCTTTCTAGTTCAAGAAAACACTTGGTTTGTTATTTGGGTTTTTCTTCTCATATGCTGATGAGTAACTTGTCTATAGAGAAATTCTTTGAATAAATTAAATAATGAAATTATTTTAGATAAAATGCAATGCTTTGTAACTTTTCTGAGGTTTTTTTTAGATGTGAAGCATTATATAATGCTGAAAGTGTCTGAAATTAAAATGCTCTAAGCAACGAATACAGAGAAACAAACAAGTCTGTTTCCACCACTGAACCAGAGCAATGTATACAAGAAAAATAGCAATTGTAGCTTAGTTGTCATGATTTTACTGTAAAGAAGGGTGTCTAACCTCTTGCTCATGGACAGGATTTTAGTTGAAAAACTAGCTATAGGAAATTAAGAATATGGTCTCAAGATTAGTGCTGCTGCAGAGCACATTGAAAGGAGTCAGCCATCGGTGCTTGTAGGTGTTACTTTTTGGGATACCCATGAGATAGGGTAGACTGGGCACTGCTGGTTTAAGATTTAAAGCAGTGCAGGAGATTAGGAAGTGTCCATGCTGCTATTCCAGCATTTGTTTTCTCAGCATCTCCTATGGTGTGAGGGCACCACAGGTGCTCCTGTGCAAGCCTTGATTTTGTGGCACAGATGCCCAGGAGTTAATGAAGAGTGAAGAGACTGATTTGAGCATCATTCACTGTGTTGTCCCATGAACCCAAAGGTTCAGAGGGCTGAGCTATGTAGGCTGTGTAGTGATATGAGAAAACAACCAGGACATTGAATGAATTGAAATTTGGAGCATTCTTGTACATTAGTGATTCCATAGTTCCTGTCTGGGTGTTTATTTACTCTTTACATGTTTATTTATGAATTATAATGAATGCATTTATTTCTAGTGTCCACAGTTTAAATTAATGAATATTAGAAAAAGTGATTACTTGGTTATGTCCATTTCTTTGAGGTGATGAAGTATTACTTCTAAAAAACCCCAACCTACTGTTAAGTCAAAAAGGCAGCAAATTCCAAAATATAAGTTAATAAATCTTAATTCCAGATTGCAGAAAACAGTATTCTGGAGTTTTATGTTACATTCATATTGTTATATAAAATACTATGTTAATGTTTCCAGAAAATGCATCCATTAATGCATTTGGAGTTAAGCTTCAAATTCTTAAATGATTTGTTTTCTAAAGAAGAATTCCTGAATTTGAGCACCATAGAAGAGTGGCTAACTGCTTCAGCATAGGGGTTGTCTTTAAAGGTGTGGCAGTATGCATTCCTTGGGCTTATCTCTGTGTTGGCATAGTGAAGATACAATGTGTAATGGCTTTTGTGACTGGAACTTCTGTCTGCCCTGAAGGGATCCAACACCAACCCTTCTTGATGGTTTCTGTGATCAGCATGTATGCTAATGGTGCAGAAGCAAAAACCTGGGAATCCACTTAAAAGTACTCTGAGCTACCATTTTCCCTGCTGGCATTGCTTTCACAGTGCTAAATAAGACATTTCAAAAGCGAAAAATCTTCTGTGTCAAGAGTGGTGCTGGATGGAGTGGTCTTAATTCGTTGCAGAAGGGCTGCAGATGAAGTTATGACTTGATTGCCTTCAGGAGTAGGAGATCACTCCAAAGGGGGCATAATTGCAGCAAGAAGGGACCACTTTCTGCTGCAGCCATATGGACCTGCTGCTCAAGTGAGCCTGGATGGTTCAGGCATCCTGTGGCCAGCTGGCAGACTCCCACCTTCCTTCAGGCATGGGCAAGTCTTAGGTGCCTTTCCTAAGTTCCTGGAGGGACTGCATAGTTCTTCCTACATCCTGCAGTTAAAATATAGGGTAACCCATCCTTTCCCCTCGACAAATCCACACTACTGCAGGTAAACAAGGAGGGACCACAGTGCCGTGAGAAAATGAGGTGGCTGTCAATGGTCAGCAATTCATTGGATCTGGGAACCCTTCTGTTACCATGCCTTGGGGCTAACACTGGCTTGCTCTGGGCTGATTAATTACCCTGGCAATAACAGCCAGTTCCATCTTGCACAGGACCTTTGGAGCACAGTAGGATTTGTTAGATGAAGGTAAGTGCAGATGTGCTGTGTAGTGCTTTTTCATCAAGTTGAAGAGTCTCTACTGTGCCGTTAATCAGTGTACACAGAGTATCTCTAATGCTTTTGAAATGGTCTGCGCTAGGTCTGTGCAGGCCAGCTCTGCTGTGCAGTCTCATGTCTCTGGTTATGCAGCAGGGAGGAGCTGTGTCAAGCAGACACTAAGTATGCCTTTGTCAGAGGTTGTGTGGCCTGCAGCAGCCAAAAGTTTGGGCAATGACTTTCTTGACAACATTGGTTTGCCCTGACTGACTCCTGAAGGGCTTGTGTCCACCCTTGTGTGATCAAAAGGGAAATTACAACGTTATGTAGTCATTTAGTCGCATTTATAGGTAACAGTTATAAATTTGGAAATATTTTCCTTTTTCCCTTTCCTTTTTAGAAGCAGATTTTATCACTATTATAGAGAGTGATGCCTCTAAGCCATTCATTGGAAACCACGATCCAACAATGTGGCTAGGAGAAAAACTAGGATTTTACACAGATTTTGGTCCAAGCACAAGAGATCACACTTGGGGGTGAGTCATCTTTGCATGTGCAATGACAGTAAATACATGTAAATACACCAATACTAACTGTACTAGAACATGAGCAAAGAATAGTTGGAATAATAATCCCCATAATCACTTGTTGGAGCTTGTCTTTTAGGAATGGGCTTTGATTCCTTAGCATTACAATGTAATGTAGATGGAGTTTTCTCGTTGTTTAACACTATCAGGTTTTGGTGCCTGCCCCTGTAAGCTACTTTGGTTTTGGTAAAGTAGAGAAAGGCATCCTGTACAGATTTGGAAGTTCATCATTCTAAGTACTGTATCTGATTCCCTTTTCAAATTATTTTGTTTCGGGCTATGAGAATTTTATATTTCAGACTTAAACATGTGATAGCAGTTGGAAAATGTAACTGCACCTGGAGGTATTTGAAATTTTGAATTCATTAAGTCCAGGTTGGACTCCAGAGTGGGAAATGGGCATAAAAAAGCACATGTCTGTTTGACCAGATTTTTTGTGTCTGATTTTACTTTAATGCTTGACCAACTACCAGTTTGCCCTCTGGAAAAAAAGTGGCTTATGATGTGGCTTTTTTTTTTTTTTCAGGGGAATATATAGATCTCTGTGTCCGATAGAACTTTCTAGTGATGTTGCAATGGCTATTTAATTATTGCCATATGTGAGGGGAATTTAGTAACTTTCCTCTTCCAGAGGCAGAATGAGGCAGAAAAATAATTCTCTGAAATTTTATTCATTAAATGTTTTGAAAAACCTGATGCAAAATGTCTAAACAGAAGCTGAAAAATTGAGACATCTCATACTTGGAAGATGTATTTCTCTCTGCTTCTAATTCTAATAAAATGCCTTTGAATTTCTAGAAGTATAAAATTCTGTTTTGTCTGAAATACAGATTGTGAAAGGCCCTGTGTAAGAATTCATATATATGGAATGGTATTTCTTAGTATAGGAATTATATTGATAATACAGTTTTGGACATGTACTTAAGTAGTATTTTAGAGGGAAACCTAAATTCAGAAAAATCTACTAGAGATGGTTTATATTCTGGTCTGACGGTTTGTGTTCAGTGATTGTTAGTCTTTTGCTCACATTTATCTGCTTGGTTCATACCTGTGATGCTTGTGAACTACAAAATGTCACTTTTTTCCTCTTCTCATTTAGGATTATGGTGCTGTCAAAGTATCCAATTGTAAAATCGACCCATCACCTCCTTCCATCTCCAGAGGGAGAGATTGCACCTGCCATTTCCCTGACAGTCAACTTCACAGGGAAACTGATTGATTTCGTTGTCGCCCACTTTGGAAACGAGGAGTGTGTATTTTATTTGTTGTTACATATATTGTACAAAGTCATGTAATGTAATTTGTGCATTTCTGGGATTTCTTTCGTACCCTCTAAATGTGCTGCTGTAATACTGGTTCTAGCAAGGCACACTTGAGGAAATACTGTGACATAACTACAGGCTTAAAATTTTGAAGCACTTTTTAAACGGGACAAATGTGTCACACAAAACTCAGCTGAGCCTGCTCTCTGAATTACTAGAGATTTAAAGATATAGTTCTAAAGATAAAGTCACAACAAATGATAGGTCTAGAGATGCATCTAAGTGCAGGATAGCATCCTTCTGACTTTATGAATATGGAATAGATCTATTATATACCACGAGTGCAGATAGATGCAGTTACAGATAGATAGTGTTAATGGAAAAATGATATTTATTAAAACAAAAAGTGACAAATCTGAAACCTCCAAGAAAGGACAATGTTGAAACAGCAATAAAAATATCTGTGTCCTTCTGACTGTATGCAAGCAGAAATATGAAGTCCGATCTCTAGATTTGGAAAGGCAAAATTATACCAATACTCAAATATGTGATGGAAGAAAATAAGGTGGATATTTCAGTTCTTGAAAAACAACACTTTGGTTACTTGTGTGTAATGAATATTAATAAGAGATAGTTTTGTGAATGCTCCATGTAGCTGCAATATCTAGTGTGTCTGTGGCTATGAAGTAGGATTTGGAATTTTTTTAAAAATTCGTTATAGTTCACGGAGAGGCAAATTTATGGGTAGGGTTTAGAATATAATAACACAAAGAAGCTGCTCAGAAAACAATAAGTATTCTCCTTATCCGATTTCCTTCCGCAGTGTAAAAACTGTGCTCCAAACCTACAATTTGTTTATAAATTTCCCATTCATTAAACAAATATAGCTGTGAGAAATCACTCCCAATTTGAACTCTAGAAAGGAGTTTCATTCTGTGCCTCACACAGGTGATTAGACTTGCCTGTCCGAGAAACAGTTTGTCAAGGCAGATGAAAACAACACTGTATTCCCCCCTCAGAGGGAGATGAGATAAAGACGAAGGAGAAATTGTGAGGAGACACAGGGGAAATGAGTGCAAATTAGATTGTGTTTTTGAAGGGAATGAATTTGTAATTAAATATTGCACACAACTGCTTGGCTTTAATCTTTTTTTTTCTTCTACTGCTTAGGATGACAGAGACTATAGAATACTGGATAACTAGGGATGTTTTTAAATACTGTTTTTAAAATGTGGAAATATAACCATGCCGATGTCATTTAAAAGATCCCATCTTCCGGAGAGGTGTAATTCTGGAAAGAGCAGCTAGCTGAACAGACAATTTCACATATACCTAGGTCAGGCTTCTAATTAAATGTTTGGGGTTTTTTTGTCTGCTGTCTGTGTGCTCTTTCTCCCTAATGCATTTGCTTCAGTCAGAAATATCACTAGTTAGAAAGTGTAGCCACACTAAAATTCTTGTTTTCTCTGGGGTTTGCAGGTTCCAAAATCAGCTCCCTTTCTCAATTGTATTTAGCCCAGCCTACCAAAACATAGAACACAACATGATGTACACAACTACTTAAAGTTATAAATATGAAGAATCATAGAGAACTGTCTTTGCATTATTTTATGACAAACCCAAGGACAAGGAATGGGATCCACTGCACTATTTTACCAGGCTCCACTTATGCTATCATCACCCTTGGTAGTGTAGTGTAAATTTCATTAGGGATGGAGAATACCTGCCAAACAGAATTAAGTAAAGTTAATGGGGTGATGTAGCTCAAGTCATATTTCATAAATTATGTGAACCAGACTTTAAGGCTATGTTTACCATGATCTGTTCATCATAAAAGTTTTGTTAGCATGTGAGCTCTTTGTTATGTGTGATACTGTGCACAGTTAAATTTTAAGTGCAAGCAGAGACAGAGCCTCAGATAACCAAAGCATGTATATTCACATTTCCTAGTGATGAGATCAGTATTAAAAACAAAACAGTAATAGAAAATGTTGTTCTTGTAATGGTTATAAAGAGAACCCTAATTACATCTACCATGATCATGTGGCTTATATCAAATGTAGCAATAACTTTAAATCACTGAGCTTGCTGTAAACTTCCATTCTCTCTAATACTGAGCAAAAAAATGGTACCAGATTCATTTGTGGCTTACTATGTCATAGCACAATGATTCAGAGCTAAAATGTATATGTGTTAAAGTCTTTTCCATTTCTTTCAGAGAGGACTTGGACAGAAAACTCCAGGCAATAGCTGTTTCAAACCTCTTGAAGACTAGCTCTAAGCAAGTTGTATTTCTAGGGTACATCACTTCAGCCCCTGGATCCAGAGATTATACTGAATTAATAGAAAATGGAAATGTCAAGGTAATGTAAAAATACTGCATCTTTAGAGTTAATATATATTGGAAATAGCTTAATATTTTAAATCGATAACTTAAAAATAGACGTAGAAGAAAATACATGCACATGTTCAAATAAAGAACAAGAGGCAATGGACAGTAGTTTTCACAAGGGAAATGTCATTTAGATAACAGAAGGAAAAAAAAAGTCAGTTAGGGTAGTCAAGCGCTAGAACAGGGGCCTGGTGAAGTTGTGAAATCTCCATCCTTGGATATATTCAAAAGTTACCTGGATAAGGTCCTGAGAAATCTACTTGAAGTTACGTTGACCAGGGGTTAGGAGTAGGTGACCTCCAGACAACCCTTTCAGCCTCTAATTCTGTATTTCTTTTGTTTTAAAACTGAGCTCTGTATTTGGTTTTCTATCAGGAGATGTCAAAAAGTTATGCAATTTGTCTAAAAGATTTGTCTTCCTGCCTTATTATAGTGTTTTAGGCAAAACGGTTTTTTTTAGTACGTTTACATATTGGTCCTGTTACTGATTTAAAGCCTATCCAAAGGAAAACTTGCCTTATTTGTTTGACTTTTTTCCCCTTTTCCTTCCAGGATATTGACAGTACAGATCGTGACAGATGGTGTAGCTATATTATGTATCGTGGAGTAATAAGGTATGCTAAAGTGGATCATTTATTCATTGGTTTAAATATCTTAATGGCAATCAGTTTTATACTCTTCTGTAGGTGATCATGGAAGACTTTTATATCCCTAAACAATTACGTATAAACAGTTACATCAATCATGAAGTAACGTGAAACCATGTATCAGGATGAATTGGTGTATTTCTGAATACAGTTGCAAAAACAGGTTTCATCCTTCTGTGTAAAATGTCTTCAGATCCAGTCTGCTTTGGTAACATAAAACTACCTTTTTCCTAAGCTCTGGCTTTGCAGCTTCTAAAATGTGAAGGCTAAGCCCTAATTTGTATGTGACAGAGAAGCTAGACATTTTGAACTATGATTGTAGAGTTTCTTGAAGCAAAATGCTGATCTAATCCAGCCAATCTTTATGCTGAATTTAGTGGAAACTTTAACTTTTTACGCCTATATTGAAACACTTTTCTCTGTTAGGACCTAAGTACTCCATATCTTTCAATACTAAATTGCTTATAAATCATTCTCTTGGTGATGTATGTGCCAGAATGGAATTAAACTTATTCTGAATAAACTGTGTAAATTCTGCAGTGTTCACAGGAGTAAAACCTGTAAACTTGATTGCTATCTTAACAGTACTGAGTAAAAAAAAAAAAAAAAAGGGTAATAAACCCCCCCATATGCAATCTTAGTGTTTCTTATTATTCATTCCATTGATGCTTGAGTTGCTTTCTTGAATATCGAAATCTCTTCAATGAAAAAAGTTGGTGAGCTTATAATTCTAAAGCTGTAATTTTAAAAATAAGTTTCTAGGTGTAGAACTTATTGTCAAACACTTAGGCTTTTTCAGTTTTTATACTTGTGACATTGTGTTAGGATTGTGTTTATGGAGCACTTTCAATTTTTTGAAGGTGATATTCACAGAAATGGAAAATTATGCTGACAAATTTAAGAATAACTCCAGGGCTACAAAAAGAAAGAAAGAAAAACGATACATGCATTGAGAATGTGGTGAAATTGCCTTGAGTTTTTTCTTCAAACTAACTCTTCTTGTATTTGATAGGCTGGGTTATGCCCGCATATCTCATGCTGGTTTAAGTGATTCAGAAGTCCAGATGGCCAAATTTAGAATCCCAGATCACGTGGATAGCTATGCTGACAATGACAGAATTGTCACTGACCCCAGCCAAGTTCCTGAGGACATCCATTTCAATCCCAGGTCAGTGTATCTCATAAGAAATTAAGGGGACAGTGCATGTGACATCTTGTAAAACGGAAGTCTAGGAGCAAAATTTTTCTTAAACTGGGAGGCACTGATCAGTTTGAAAAGATTAGGAGGCAAGAACTTCTGATTTGTAATTCCATTTTTTTTTCTACTGACTTGGCATACACCTTGGGAAAATCAGTCTGCTGTGTCATAGCATATACTGAAAGTAATGCTTATTTACCCAGGCAATTAATTTCTGAGATTGCTTGATGTGGTTTTTGCCAAGTGGTGTGGTGACTCATTTTGTAGATTATGAAAGATCTCCCATGTTTCTTAGCACTTCAGAGGATTGGGGTCTTAATATGCTGTTACTTAGAACACAAAATACCATATATACATTAAATACTATTTGCAGAAATATTTTTAAATATATCACATAACTGGAGCAAAAATTAAAGAGGATGCCTGAGGCAGTATGTTACATGCGTTGAGAAATAAAAATTACTAGTTTTAATGTAAAAATGTTATTTTTTTCCTAGAATGCTGTCATTTTTCCACTGGTATTGCATAAGGAATAGAAATATGGAGGAAGGTATTTAGTCTAATATTAATATCAGTGGAAGAGTCATGAAGTTTGAGATGTTTCTCTATGGCAATATCTATTTCCAGCAATGCCATATTTACTACCCCTAACATGCATAATACAGAATATGTTACTTTCTTATATACATCTAACAGTTGAGCTTACTCACTTTTTATTTACCACTCAGTCGCTGGCTTCCTGTTTAAATGAGAGTTTGCCCAGGCTTTTCCACATGATGAAACTTGCCTAAAGTTAGGCACATCTTACCACATTACTTAAAGTTAGGATTCACATTCAGATTTTTCTCAGGTGATTTCAGCACAGTCTTGTCCTTATTATTTTTATGTCATCTTGTAAGTAGGAAAGTTATAGCCTGTAGGAATAAGTTTAACTTTTTCCAGTTAACTGTAATTCTTTAGAAATACAATGGCACTGCTCTTAAATGTTACTTAGCACTGATATTTTGAATAAGTACTCCATTTTACTTTTGCAAATCTATCTACCATAATAGTCAGTTGTCAAACCTTTCAGATTTAAATGTGGTGTAAAAAATTACAATTTTCACCATAATTTTCAAAAGTAAGATGTGCAATATTAACAACAAGGTTGACAGTTTTGATACTATGGGGGTTTAAATTATATCTCCACTGAAGTCAGGACTAAAAATTTAAAGAGCATAAGATTTAAGTAGATAAATACACCACTTACCTTTGTCAGCTGGAGTTCCAGTTATAGGCTGCCTAGGGCATTAATGCAATCAGTGTAATTAAATGTCTCCACTATATTCAAAGACATCTAGTGAGAGAGGGCACATAAATTATGATTTACGTTTAAGTAGAATTGAGTCCTTTTTCTGAAATAAACTATCTAGAACATTTGGAAGTAGTGTAGTAATTGTATGATTTAATTGCATGGGTTAAATATTGTTGTAATAGTTTTGCTTTGTTGAATATTTTTCTTTAGGTTTGGATCTTATAAAGATGGACATAATTATGAGCATATTCATCACTTTCATATGAGCACTCCTAAATATTTTAAACAGGCAAATTAGAGAGAAAATAATGTACTGTTGGGACCAGCAAGAAAGGTTTGTTGCTTGAAGCCAAATTGGCCAAAAAGACTACGTTGCTTAAGGATGAGCAATTCCAATGCTGCACAACACTATGAATGTCTGTCTAATAGTTGGTGACTCTTCTCTTTAATGAGTTGCCATCACTTTGCCATCACAGGAAAGATGCCTGCATTTTGACAAACTGATATCTACCCAGGCCAGATACCTTTTTTGTATGCAGCAACACAAGGGTGGGAACTTGCTTTGGCAATAATATCTTCAACTTTTGTGAAGGTATCCTATATCCTGCTGTTTCAGAGTTGAATGTGTCTGTGGACCTTTTTTAAGGTCCCCTTTCCTCTCCTGGGAGGTCATTGGAACAGTCATGGGCAAGGAATTTCAGCAGACTTACACACTTTTTTGATGACTGAGGCAAAGCAAAATAATGTGGTAGTGTAGGTAACCTGTTGACATTTGCTGCAATTTGTAGTCCTGCTGCTATTGGAACAAAAAGCTTGGCCTTAGGTTTTTCAAAATAGGAAAAGGTCAATTTTTTAATTGGGAGATATGCTCTAAGTATGTGTTTTAAGTGTGTGCATTTTTTACTTTCTTAAACAGTATTTACATCTGCTGCTATTCTACATTTTGTTCTTAAATGAGTTTTATTAGAACAATTTGTGGATGATTGATGTTCATAATACTGGAGAAAAGGCAGTGACTTCTACAGACTTCATTGTTTTTTAACTGGATATTAGACTCTTCAATGCTTTTACAAAGGGAAGAGTGAAGTACCTCTGATTAGTTATTTTTGCGAGACACTTACCTGAACACAGTGCCAAAGAATTAAAAACAATTGTCTCAACAAGGTTTCTGAGAAGGGAGAAGAGTTAGTTGTAACTTTTATTTAAAATGAACTGCAATAAACAAATTAGAAAAGCATTGTTCCTTTGCTAGCATTATACTTTAATAGGACTAAATAGAAGTGGGACTTTTTTGACCTAGGCAGTGAATTCCCTATTATTTAATGCACATGTAAGACAATGTAAAGTGTTGTGTCTTCTCAATGTCTCTTCACAATGCCTTTTACATTTGACTCCTGATCCTTCACTATACGTGCAGAGCTTCCCTTAAATAATGAGGACATCTTCAGTGTTGTCCAAAGAAACTTTTCTGCTTGTGAGAAACAGGTTAGATGATCTGTTTAAGTGACCCACTCAAGTTGAAAACCGCATTTGTGATTTTGGTATTTAGTGCTGTGTGTCTTTCCAGTAATACCTAAGCATACTACAATGAAAAGGAATAGGATAAGTTGCAGGAAAGAGGGTGGATTTTTTTTCTCCCTCTAATTCTTCACCATGTACTTTTGAGAACAGCTTCACTGTACTCAATTTTATTGTTTCCCCATGTAAGCAAATACAGGATGTGTTTTTACCCGGGGTTTTTTGTTCTATGGCGTCAGGTAATTGCTGTCATCAACAACCTTGTCTCTTTATTCTGGTCACCTATCATTTTGCTCCCTTGTTTTTAGGACTGTGTTTCTAAAACTGTTCACTGATGATCTTTGTGGAGAGAGAATATTTGGAAGGCATTTAAAAATTAAAGTGGTTACGTATTCATCATCTCAGATGCTATTAGAAAGCCTGACTTAGTTACAATTAACCAGCCATTACTGAACTAATTTCTCACCTGAAGGTGCTGTGTTTGTCTTCACAAGCCCTCTGAACTTGTTCTCTCTGTGACTTTCCAGCAGGACAGGATAAATTAGGTTTTGGAGTGATGGGAGTGACTTTCTTGCACAGTTTTCTTCTGCAAACACCAGTAGACCTTGTCTCTCCTTTCTCCCAGCCTGCAACAGCAGCTGACACTGGCACCAACTTTGCACAGTGGCTCTGAGTATCCTCACTTCTTTGCAGCAGCCAGCATATGTGCTGGCTCTGACACATATCCAGCCACAGTTTTGCCTTTCCATAGCCTGTAGAAAACATAACATTATCTTGCCACATTACTTAACATTCTCCACAGGCTAACTCTGCAAATACCTTGTAATGTGAGCAGTTTATTAATGTAAAATGCAAGAAATTATACTCATAAATATAAAAAGATTGAACCCCCCTTCTTTTTTTAACAATTAAAAACCAGAATGATTATTTTTCAAGAAGTCATATAGCAAAGCATGACTTGCATAACAGATCAGATTATTGTCATCTCTGTGTGTAATCTTCAAAGTCTATGAGCATACTTGGATGGATTTTCACAGGATTTAGAATTTTTCACTGCATTTGAAAGGTTCATGTGGACAGTGACAAAATCTAAACTTTGAATATTCTCTTCTTCTCTTCTTCTGAGTAGCTTGTTCAATTTAATGTTGGTGTATCCATACCTTATGTTGCTTAATGTCAGGAAACTATAGGCAAATATAATTAGTAGCAAACATTTGTTGACATTTGCATTATTTTACCAGAATGACTAAGAAAAACTATGACCATAAGCTGTTTTCATACTGCTTCTACTACTGTGATTAGAATTGGGAAGCTAAAACCAAACTTTATTTGTCCATAAATTTTCACATTGATCTAATCTGTACTATCTGACTGGTTTAGAAAAACGTGCAGTATATCTCTAATGAACAATCACTATGTTTCAAACTATGAAAGAAATGTGCTAGAACAGGTCGTGCTGCAGGGGTGTGTGACTAATCTTTCTGTTTTCTAATCATCCTCTCTTCATCTCAGCTTTCATAAGATAGTATGTTACGAAAGAAAAACTTTGTGGATATCTTCATGCATTCAGAGATAGCATGAAAAGATAAAATGTATAAAATAGACATTATTTTCTATAAGTTTGAACTTTTTCTGGTGACTAGATTACATATATCTGACTTCTAAATAATATGTATTCTATGTACATAAATATGTATTCTTATCTGGATAAACAATATGTACTCCTATGAGCAGGTCAGTTAAGTTTCTAGGAATGTACAGAAAGAGACAGCAGTATATCAGGAGCCTACCAATGTGTATCTCAGCATAAAAAAGAAGGACTCTAAGTAACATATGTAAGAGCAACTCCTGAGAGTAATTGTACTGTATTCTTCGAAGACTCAAGTTTCCTCTTTTATATATATATATATATATATATATATATTCCTGCTTTTGGGTCTTGGCTCAGGCATTTCTATGTGTATTGTAAGCTTAGCTTCAGGAGCAGTGGCTTTGGTGTTGCCACAGAGCGCTCCCAAATCTGGGAGCTCTGGGAGTTCAAACCTCTTGGGCTAAGAAACACTGGAAATTGTTATTTCCCATGTTCAAAAACAGTGTCACAGCTATAAGCTGAGAGAAAGTCAGACACACCCTTTGGTTTTGAATCGGAGTTATGTTACTGAAACAAGTTGTTGCAGCTCAAGCGGGCAGGTAACCAGTTCCCACCTGTCTCCCTGAAACAGAACACTGAGAATGAGTCCTCTGCTGACTGTGAGGGACCTTCATAGCTCAGAGAGGTGCTGGTTGTTCTGATGCATCTCTAGAGTTCAGGCAGAAATTCTGAGCTGTTCTCTTAAGCCTGACTGTTTAGAGTTGGCTTATGATGGATGAAGAGAAGTTAGTTTCAAACTGAAGTTGGAAAAGACCCTAAAAATCAAATGTAGGGTTTTAAATATCAGCCATTAACAGCCCTGAAATGTTTTTTTTTTCTCATCTATGTAAAATGACATTTGTTTGCAGGGTGTTACAAAAGAACCTTTGGGGTCAGAGTAATATGTCTAAGGAGCAAATGTAAGAGAACAGACAGCTTCACTTCAACGGGGAGCATAGTATGAGTCTATGGGACACTGCAATTAAAATGACCTGACCTGTTTAACGAGGAGTGGTTTGAAAAGCAGTTCATAGAATCTGCAGCTGCTGCCTTCTGCCACTTGAGGTCCTCTTTTATCCCTGATTAGTATTGTTCTGCTCAGACCATGCAGGAATGACTGAAATTTAGGTGTTTCATTGAAACGCTGAGGCTGAAAAATCTTTTCAGAAGCATTACTTAAAGCTGTTTGTTTTGACTTAGTTATCAGTTACTTTTTCATATCCACAAATGATTTAAGATTGTGATTGTTGGGCTTCTTGTAGACAATTTGTTTATTTTCTTACAATACCCTGTACTGTGTTTTGTTACTGCATTATCTGCTTTCTTAATATTCAGCAAATTCTTCTTTGGTAATGTTTTTATTTTCAATACAATTCCCTTTCCCCTCTGACTTGGAAACACATGACAGCTTGTGATTCTGGTGCCTAAAATTAATGTTCAAGGTTGTTTCTAAGCAAAGCAAGCAAGATAAACAAAGATATTTGAGAAATGCAGCGGCTTTAGCCTTTTAGAGTCTGATATCCTTTGGAAATAGAGGAAAAGAGTTTCCTTTTGGGAACTCTCAAAGATGCTTCTACATTTTGTTTCTGATAGTGAACAAGATAAAACTAAGTAAATGGTTCCTCTTTCTCTTGTTAGCCAGTATTTTTCACAGTCTACAGTAGGTTTTTGCATGTTTTTTGAATTGTGGTTGTCGTTTTAGCTATCAATTTAAAAAAAGCAACACAAACATAAAAATGTGAACAGTGACAGTCCCTTCAAAAAAAAGAAAAAGAATGTTTGCAGTTTTAAGTTTGATCTAGCAGTGTGTAAACTGGCATTTACTGCCACTTTCCACATCATGGTTTGTTATTCCTCTCCTGTGTATTGATGGAAGCACTTGCACATACGTGTGATAAGCCAGATCAGGATATTCAGCTGGCTGGGAAAACAAAAAAAATGGACAAAACCAAAAGAAGAGTTGAGGGTTTTTTTGTCTTGTTCTGGGATGTTTTGCTTTTGGGGGCACTGGGGACAGTCTTGCTCTTGGTATCTAGCTGTCCAAGTGGTTGCACTGTCACAAAAGAAAGGATGCCAGGAGGGCTAGGATTAAGATGCTAATGCTGGAACTGCTTAAACTGTCTCTGTCCATGTGGTAGTTCCACCCTAGCTGGATGCCAGGTACCCACCAAACATGCTCTATCACTCCCCTCTGCAACTGGAAAGGGGAGAAAAATGTAACAAAAGGTTCGTGAGTTGAGATAAGAACAAGGAGAGATCACTCACCAATTACTGTCGCGAGCAAGACAGACTTGACTTGGGGAAATTAGTTGAATAAATTACCAATCAAAATCAGAGCAGGATAATGAGAAGTAAAAGCACCTTCCTCCACCCCTTCCCTCTTCCTGGGCTTTGTTCTTGATTCTCTACCTCCTCCTGCCCAGCAGCTCAGGGAGTGGAGGTTGCTCCATCATATGTTGTTTCTGCCGTTGCTTCCTCCTCAGAGAGAGGAGTCCTTCCCCTGCTCCAACGTGGGGTCCCTCCCAGGAAAGACAGTCCTCCGTGAACTTCTCCAGCGTGAGTCCATCCCGCGGGCTACAATTCTTCACAATTTGCATGACCGTGGGTCCCTTCCATGGGTTGCAGTCCATCAGTAATGGGGTGCTCCTGTGCGGGGGTCCCCCATGGGGTCACAAGTCCTGCCAGCAAAGCTGCTGTAGTGTGGGCTCCTCTCTCCACAGGTCTGCAGGTCCCTGCCAGGGCCTTTCTCACAGTGTCACGGCCTCCTTTGGATGCATTCACCTGCTCTGGCATGGGTCTCTTCCACAGGCTGCAGGTGGATCTCTGCACCCTGGTGGTCCTCTGTGGGCTGCAGGGGCACAGTTGCCTCACCATGGCCTACACCACGGGCTGCAGGGGAATCTCAGCTCCAGCCTCTGGACAACCTCCTCACGCCGCAGGGGAATCTCAGCTCCAGCCTCTGGACAACCTCCTCACCTTCCTTCTCCACTGACCTTGGTGTCCGCGGAGCTGTTCCTCTCACATATTATCACTACTCTCTTCTCTGATAGTAATTATTTCTGTGCAGTGACTCTTTTTTTTTCCCTTCCTAAACATGTTATCCCATAGGCATTACTCCCACTGCTGGTGGGCTCAGTCTTGGCCATCAGCCAAGTGGCGGGGCCATCCTGGAGATGGCTGGCACTGGCTCTATTGGGCATGGGGAAAGCTCCTGGCAGATTCTCACAGGAGCTACTCCTGGAGCCCCTGAGCTACCAGAACCTTGCCAAGCAACCCAATACAATGCCTGATCTGCCATGACCTGATTGATCTGCTCTCTGTAAAGTGAAGTATTTCTGTGTTTTGTAAACTCAGGCTTCAGAGAGAAAACGCAGCCTGATTTTGTAACATCTGCCAGCCTGGAGATCTGCACAGTGGTTTACAACTAGTGGTAACAAAGGGGTTATTTGTACCCTCTTAATGTTGGAATGAAGGTGCCTGTTGAAATGGGCCTTGTTCTCAGGGGGCAGCCTTTTCTGCTGAAGGATACATCCCCTGTCACAGGCAGAAGCAGAAAACAAAGTCTCTTTTGTGTTTCCCTATGGATTTCTTTGCAGATTTAATTTTTAAGGGTCAGGGATTATACTTGTGTATTGAAGTATTCAAAAATATAATGAACTTTTGCTTGGCAACCCTAATTGCCTTACACTTAGGAATAAAAGTAGTTACAGAAGCTGTAGTCTGAGGAAATATTTTTAAAGCCAAATAGTATTTTTCATTTTAGACTAGTATAAATGGGTGAAAAATACAAACCTTTCTGCCTTCAGATACAACCAAAGAGGTTTTTTGTGCCACTTTTCTTTAGATCTGTATCAATTTACAACTATGTAAGGCATGGAAGAAGATTTCTTTTTGAATATTTTTTATTCTGAACTAGTGGCCTATGTGCTTTTTATGGTCAATGTGAACAAACAGACATCCCTAAAGGGATTGTTCCTCTGAATCCAGAATTAGATCAGATGAATTGCAACTCAGTGGTGCCCCTATTGGGTATAAGAGCTTGGGATGACACGCACAGATGTGAATGTCTGGCATATGGCATGTTAAAACTACCCAAGAAGTGAAACCTCGCTCCCACTGCTTTATAACTATTATTTTTGTAGAGGTGGTAGTGTAAAATTGCGAAGATAAAGAAAAGATGGTGCAAATCAGAAAGTAATTGAGATAGAGGCAGGAAGCTCTACAGAAATCATTTTGAGTAAGAACAAGTAAGAATTTCAGATAAGGGGGTCTTTTATTGCTCTGATGTGGTTTTTAGCATATGGCTTTCAAAGAGAGGATTCATTTTCTTATGGACTTCATCCTCTTCTCTCTAAAGCATACAGTTCAGGACATAAGATGTGGCTCAGCAAAATAAATTGTCTGCACTTGTTCATCTTGACTGTTTCACTGAATAAGACAAA